CAAAAATGTAGTTTTGGGACTCCTTGATAAGACACGCCTCCCCAAACCATCACTGATGCAGGATGATGACCACGTTGTACCTTTCCGACCACTTGAGCAGCTTCCTAAGAATTGTGAGCGTACTATTTATCATTTTGTTTCTTGTAGTATTCTACAATCGTGAAAAATTTTTCATCAGTAAAGAGGATATTTCTGTGCTTTTCACCTGCGTATCGCGACAGAAGGCGTTTTGATCGATCCACTCTCTTTAATTGTAAAGATTGATTTAGGGTATATCCTGTATATCGACGATAAGCACCGAGCTTCAGTCCCCGTAGCATGACCATCACAATTTACATTATATCACTTTTTTATCGCGTCTCGCTGTCAAACTCCATAGTGATTTGACAATTGAGCTTGATAACAACGCGTTATATATCATATCGCGGTGCTCATGCTAGGGGGTCTGGTCTTGTTTTATAATACGCGACAGAGTCCTAGCGGGAATCTTCATTTCTCGCGATAAGAATTTTTGCTTCCTAATGGGATTTCGACGAATTCTGGCTTAAACAGCACAACAGCCTTTGTAGTTCTAATAGCACGCAGCCGCCCCGATCTTTTCTGGTCTTCGACAGTGAAGTGTTGTTGTATATGTTGCTAGTACAATATACGAAAATTCGGCTGATACCAAGCTTTTGAAGTGTCTGGAATATAACCGACGGCTCCATACCCACTTTGTGCAAGGCGATCACTGCAATCCTATTTTCTTTAACACCCTATTCCATTTTGTCATTTGTTAATGAACGCGAAAAAATATATAAAACGGCGCAAAATAGAAAGAAGTTTTTAAAATAATATACGTATTCCAAATTCAAAATAATTAAAAAGTGGTAAAAAAGGAAAGTTTTTATGTAACAATATTTATGGCCATACTAGTTAGAATGTTATGACGACAAGAATATTGTTCCCTCGAAAGTTTTACATTGGTTTACAATAACTTAATAATTTGAAATTAAACTATAATAACCAAGCGCATTGTGGAGTGTGGGCAGTTTTTTTTTATATCACAATTTACAATACATTAGAAAGAGTATATTTTAAGCAATTACTTTGTCTGTCATTTTCAATATTTTCTTCTCAAAAATTTTAATTATGTCAGAAATTTTCTTATAGCTAGTTGAACGATTATTACTCTTAAACTTACAAATCTATTTTAACCGTTATAGTTTTCCATAAAAGTTCATGAAAAGCCCTATTGTCCTTATTTTTTACAGGTTCTTCAAGCCAGTAGTTTAGCTTTTAGAGGGAGGGGGGGGGGGGCTACACGAACAAAAAATAGCACTGTAAAGTTCAAAAATATTTTTCAAACTAATTATTCTACCATTTTGTCGGCTTCATTGATATAATATATCTCCACAAAATTAGAGCTCTAGTGCTAACAGTCTCCAATCAAAACCGGGGACGAACAGACAGACATGACGAAACTATGTATAAGGGTTCATTGTTAGGACTGCGGAACCCTAAAAAGGTAAAGATGACGTTCTCTAATCACAGATTTTCAAAACCTTATTTCAACTTCTCAGTTTACGTGTAATTTTTACCCAACTCGTCTTGAGATGATCAGATGGCTATGTAAAAGCGCCTACTGACATGCCTGCCGCAGGGACAATGTAGGGTGCACGGGCGGTCGGGGCAATATCGGCTTGTTTCTACACACATGCCTGTGTGTAGAAACAAGCCGATAAATACACAAATACAAATACAAATACAAATACAAATACTGTGTGAAGAATTGGCAACAGAAAGAAATGTATTATAAATAAGTAATGTTTATATTACTAGAAAAAAAACCACGCGGACCTGGCAGCAGACGGGACTCGAACCCACACCCTTCGCTATCCGGGCGAATGCACTAATCAACTATGCTACCGCGGCCCTGACGGCTGTATCGAATTCTTTTTAGCCTTTCTTAAGCTGCAAGGCAGCGCATTATAAGTAACCCACAATGTCAAATGAATACCTTTACAAGTATTAAACATTTGAAAGAAGAAACACCAATTAATGTTATACTTTGATTTTTTTAAGCATGTAACTGCTCATTGTTTGAATCTAAAGAAAATATTATAAGAAAAAATAAATAAAAAAAAACTGTTCCTATTTTTCTAGAAATATTTTCTTTTGATTTAAACATTGAGCAGTTACATACTTAAAAATAAAAATTATTAAAAAAATATATAAGTATAGTTTGTTTTTTTTATCCCACATGTGGGGCCGTTCTTTATATACTTCGATCACTCGTGTCCAAACTTCATTCTCATAATGATCTGCCGCCATCTTGATCGAAATACGTGCGCTCCGTGTGACAGCTACCAACCGACTGATTGAGAAATTGCCCCAATCCCGCTACACACGCGGCAACGTGCAGGGCGGCAGGGACAATCTAGGGACCAAGGGTGGTCACGCGCTCCTGCCGCCCTGCCGTAGGCCCGATTTAGAAAATTGCCCCTGATTGCCTACGCACATCATAATTCAGGAGGCAATTAAGGGTCATCCCCACTCTTACACCCTAGATTATCCCTGCGGCAGCCATATCAGTAGGCCGCTTAAACACTCCGATGGTGCTATGCTACGCATATGACACACTAGCACGCTTCCTGTATAGTGTTGTCCGTCTCGCTCATGCGCGTGAGCACACTGCAATTTCTGACAAGCTGTGCTGTTTATGAATGTGCTGGTAAATGAACTCGGCAGTTCTTCACAGCCGATTGTTAAATCCAAGCTACATATCATTTAATATAGAATTAAGTTGTAACTATAGTCATATTTACTACAAATATAAAATATATTTACTAATTCAATTATGTCGGTTAAAAAACTTAATGAATAATTGATATTTTAGTAGTAAACTTTATAATAAGCTCAGAAAGAACACTAAATTCCAATGAATACCAAATGGATTATATTATTTGAACAAGATTCACTCCATAACCAATGATTGTTTTATACCTCACCGAGAAAGTACACAATTTTGACACAATAATAAAATTGGTAGTAAGTAGTTATTGGATAAAAGAGCTCTTATTAGACATTAATTTCTTATTGGAACTTTCAAGTTTACAAATACTAATTAAATTACCCATGTTGCATTTTATAAAGGAAAGAATGTGGAAGAAAAGAATACTCATGATGCCTACCTAATTATAAAATGGGATTTGTTAGAAATTGCACTAATTACTTTACTTAGTGCTGATTATAAATAGATGAGCAGTCGGCCTATTCGCTAACAGCTTTCGACAGATGGAAGTATAGTGATAATCACCGAGTTATTTAATGATCCACTACTGCTTTATTTTATTATAGCGCCACTAAGATACGTCTTGTTATTAAAAGCATCGATAAAGATACGAAATTTTCTTTTTAGTTGCACACCAGTTGTAGGCCAGCTGAACATTTTATCTATCTACCTACCTACCTACTCGTAACATAACGTAATTACCTACCTATACGTAATTGCGTATATGTAGTTCAATGTAGTACAGGAATGTGTAACTTTAGCAGTTGTCCTTGATACATGTCGTGCCTTATTATTTGAACGACTGTGTCAGCTGTTACCAGCATATGAGGCAGCCAGGTAAGTACTTAATGATATAATGGGAGATTTACCTTAACTAGACTGACCAATGGGTTTAATGACTAGATAGAAGAAACGGCAACCACGAAACAAAAACGAACTAAATGTGCGTACGATTAAGGTTGACGCACACAAGTGCACGACGCAATACTCCAGTTCATTGACTTGGAACTCGGGGATACACCTAGCGCCATCTCTTAACGTACTTGCGAAACAATAATTGTGATAGCAACAACTACTCACGTGAAAAGGCCAAGTTGGTTTTACGTGATGCTTTGGCCGTACACGTAATGTTGCACATGCACGCACAAAATAAACACATTTGTTGATAAACAATTTGCGACACATGCAAGTCGCTTCAACAACACGGTCCTAAGCAAGGGCGCGAGATGGACTGTCCGGGCGTCGAAGCAGTCCCTTCCGTGCTTAGGGCCGCTGCCGCGCCCGCTTAGGCATTGGCTGCGTGGCGGGCCAATCGCAGCTCCTCACGCTTCTCCACCACTGGCTACGACGCAACAGCGGAAAAAGCGGTGGGGAAAACCACTGACGAATTCGCTAGCGCTTGCCAACACTTCTCCCGCCATTCGCTTCACACACAAATTGATGTGCGAGGCCACGCCGCTCTATGTAAAGACACCAATCGGCTGCAAAGTTTCGTCATCACAAGATGAGATCGCACGCAAAATCAATGTGATTAGGTGTATACGACACATCCCCCTGTGCTCTGTAGGTCCTCTCTATTAACCACTGAAGAGGCTATTCAGGCTTCTTACTTAATCAATATCAAAATTTATTTGAAATGTAAGCCAGTTAAAAAATATTTCTGTGTTTGACTTATTGAAAAATAGTTGTATTCAGAAAGGAAGATTACTAAATCTTTAAGTATACAGAGAAGCTATTAACGCTATTAAAGTTTTTTTTAAATAAGAAGAAAATACCTATATCTAAGTAACTAAGTACTTACCATAAAGAAAATTAAAAAAAATGTACCCATCTGCTAATCTCACTCACTCAACTGAGAAAGAAAATGTGAAGACCTGACATTTAAAAAATATTGAGTAAATAACCACATTATTTTCAATATTATTTTTTTCTATATAACTATGAACTATGCCCTATATGCATATTAGGAACTTCGAAATACTTACAAATACACCTTTTGGGCGCTTTCAATTTATGCGTTTCTTGACGGCCTGCTGCGGTGCCGAAGCGGTGCGTTTGTCGTACAGCGTACGGACGATCCTTTTTTTTCATACAAAACGCGCGGTGCGGCAACAGTGCGGCGCCGGTACCGCGAACGCTCGACAACAGGAGGCCGTCAAGAAACGCATAAATTGAAAGCGCCCTTTCTCTGAAAAATGTAAATAATGAAAATATTGCGTCATTCTAGATGCTAGAAACACGCTGACACGTTAGCAATATATTTATTTCCTTGTTATGAAATACATAATATAAACTAACTAAAATTATTGAATCACAAATTCGCGACATTAATAACATCACAACATGTGACATTATCATTCGCTTGTTCTGTTCCCAAGTACATATTTTTTTTTCTTACAGACGCGATCAGCCGTCATCTCAACATAGGTATATCTTTATCATATTATTTTTCACACAGTTTATCTAACTTTTCTTCGGAATTTCTCTAATTGTAGCCACCGCCTAATTTATGGTATTTGCTCGCTTTGTTACGACGCAGGTAACGACACATCTAATAACTAAAAAGTAATTTAACATTAGTCTCTCCTTTTCATTCTGTATAGAGAATGACAAGGATACACTGTTGGTAAATTTAATTTTAGAGAATCATGTCAATAGACACCAATAAGTACTACATAATTTGATAGTTTCACAGACATAGATCGAAAAAGATAACGCAAGTATAAGTACTATGCGTGCCAAAAGAAACACCGACAGTCATTCTTTTACGCTAATATATTTCTTCGCGTCACCTTTTTCCGTACCGGAGGTCAATCGTAATGTTTAATAGTTAAGTATCTAACTATTTCATATTAAGCTATAAAAGCGATATAATTGAAATAGGTGAAAGTTGCTTTTTCACCACTTATTTGTTCTCATGAGCAGGTACTCAAAATCTGACACGCTCAGTTTCCTTACAATTTGAAGTACATGCAGCGTCTACTTCAATCTTGGTCTGTGGTTCGATACTTACTTATAAAGAGCGCTATTGATGTCGATAAGATGATAAAGCATGATTCTCTAAACTTAAAACTAAAAACATCCGTCTCTCCTTTTCATTCTGTATAGAGAATGACAAGGTTACACTGTTGTCACATTTAAGTTTAGGTTTCAATCATGCCAGAATCGACACTATTGTATGCTAAACTTAGAGATTTAAGTAACCACATTTAATCAAACGGTTTTATGGACAGTTATCGCTTAACTCCGTGGTGTTGTTACAGTTAAGACCTACTGAGGTCTTCAAATACTGATTTGAAGATAAAATAAGGCTACTGCTCCTCTAGCATGACCACCGAAACGGGATATGATAAAGCGATATATCGGCATTAACTGTCAGACTACTATGAAGATTGACAGTAGTCTGACAGTAAATGTCGATATATTGCTTTATCGTATCCCGTATCGGTGGTCATGCTAGAGGGGCTGGAAGTGTGCATACCACTTGCAGGGATCGTGTTGGCAGGAAACTGCTAAGTGTACATTTAGGCCGCGACGAACTTGTGACCTAGAGTCATGACATGGTCAGTAGCCAGACCTAGTGAACCGAGACGTTGTGAATGAAAACTACACGTTACTACAAGCCCATGCTTTAGGTTTAAATAACTTATGTTCTCTAAAATTCTTTTAGGCAGGCGTGTACCATCCTAGGCCTCATCATCGCTTTCCATCAGGCGAGATTGTGGTCAAAAGCCTTGCATATTTAGCATTAAAAAAAATAGAGACATATTTTTCCCTTTAAATAATCAGGGAAGGTAAAGGAAGACCGTGGAAAAAAATGATCAAAGAATCAAAAATAGTCAGAATATTGATAATGCAGAAAGCAATGGAAGATAGACATACAACATATACCACCGGAAGAAGAAAATTACGTAGTTGAGTCCTTCGGCTTAAAATATTATAATTACATTAAGTGGGGATGCGGCCATGTCGGAACTTTTTAAACGTAGAAATAAATAACTTCTTGGTTTTCGCCTCGAAAACAGATGGATAGCAATCAATAAATCGTTTATTCTCACCGGTTAGGTTCTACATGAAAGGTGTGATAGAGTCGTCAGTGTGTGTAGTACCCTCGTCGGCGCATGCACATTTCATTTTGTTCCTTTCAGACACATTTGCAGCATCCTCCGCAGCATTATATATATCCCACCAGATGGCACCACCCAGGACATTGCGAAAGTACGGGGGTACGCTGCCTTCTCGCAATAGATACCTATCGCAAAACGTACAGAATTAACTCATATAAATTATTTCCTAAGAAAATGCAAAATTTTTGTGGTGAATTGAGAACTGTGTGGATGTGGCATAGCCGTATCCGCCATCTTTATTTATTTCCTTAATATTCAACCTTTGATATGAATTAATAATACAGTGTTTGAATTCTTCACTTCTTCATCTCAAAAACGTTCACCGGTTTTAATTTAGGTAGGTACTTGCTACTTCAAAATATGGTTTATAGGTACAACTTTAGTTAGTTAGCACTCACGAATTCTAAGTAGGTACCTTGCAGTGTTAATAGAAATTACCTATAATAACTTACTTATAGAACTTCTCCTCTTTGCACTCTTCAGCCCTGCGTCGCCAGTAGCGCTTCAGGTTTGGGCTGATCTCGGCAGCCTCCGCTTCTATAAGCTGGGATTCTCGTTCCTCTTCTAACCTTCTTTGCTCACCAAATTCTTCTGAAAATATATTAGCTAGTCTATTACGCCAGCGACAGATTTTGTGAGAGTCTTCAGACAGAAAAGGAGGAGTGTCTAAATCGTATTCGTCATGTATTTTTTATTTAAGTATTCTATAGTGGTTTTATCCGCTAATAATAAAAGTAAGATGAGTGTTATGTAGATGAAGTTGCACTCATCGTACTTTAAATACTATAGAAAAAATTAATAAGTAATTAGTTTTACTTATTATAAAAAGTTTTCCATAATAAGCAAAAGTAATACCGTCTACCGCATTAGGTATTTACTTACTGATTTTAAGCAAGTGTAGGTAAATGATACAAATATCTACGAAAAAAGATTAGAAAAGATATATCTATCTACTAATGATAGTTATCTCTTTACTACGGTATCGGTAGACTATACTTTTTGTCTTTATATGTGGTTTCGTATTGGTAAAATTATTTTAAAAATCGGTTCTGTAGATTACTTACTGTAGATTACTTACTCCCTACAAAATATTAAATTAGATAGAGGCATACTGAAATGTAAAGTTTTAAAAATTTTGTGTAATGTATTGTAAAGTATTGGGGCCATTTCCACTGAATACTCCACAAATGAACTACAGTTTGTCTATAAAGCCGTGACATGAATGTTTGAGGAACTAACATTATTCATGTGTCTGGCAACACCAAAGTTATGTACATCAGCTGTCATCGAGTTTGAGTTGTGGAACAGTTTTCCTTTTGTATTTTTTATTGTTTTGATTAAACTGTAATAAATTAAGACGAAACAACGCAAAAAGGTATAAAAATGAGTAAAGTAAATTGGAGTGGCACGCGGGAAATGATTTTTAAAGTTTTCCAGCAATGTTTCGCGGAGTACCAAGCTGGACGAATTTTGTGGGATTTGGTTATGTTTATGGGCGAACAGCATCTATGACGGGTAAGTAATCGTGTTACTATTTGTTTGTAATTTGCCTAAAGTAACAAATTTACTCAATTTACGATTTTAAGACCAAAACAGGCATTGTTTACATTGCACATTTTTAGGTTAGATTGACATTGTAAGTAGGTAATATTGTAGTACGACCATTTCTTTTGATACGTTGGGATGGTACAACTCAGTCAGGTTTTCTACCAATTTTGAATTAATTGCTTCATGTCAATAAGTTATTGTTTCTATTCCGTTACATATTTTTTTACTTTTTTTCAGTAAAATGAGAGAGTCGGATAGTCAACGAAAGTTTTAAGAATTATGGAAAGTTTGAAACTCCTTGGAAGACAGGCTAGGCCGACCAAAGAAAGAAATTGTCACATAAAGAACCATGGCCAGATGCTTTTAGTGAAGATACCTATCACTAATTTTACTAACTGCACATTTACAAATTGTTACTCTAAATAAACTTTTTATATACTACAAAATGATTTTTAGTATTATTTTCTTAACAAGTGTGTTAAAAAACGTCGTATGATACATATGTGTATTGATGATTACCCTCCTCTGCTCTCTTAAGACCCTCACCTAACGGCTGGTCTCAATGTCGCCTCAGCGGTAATCACCAACATTACACACTTGTACACAATGATGTCGATTTTGGCATGATTCTCTAAAGCTAAACTTAAATTTGACAACATTGCATCCTTGTCATTCTCTATGCAGAATGACAAAGAGAGACTGATGTTAAATTTAGTTTTAAGTTTAGAGAATCACGCCAGAGTCGACACCATTAATGTACTAATAATTTTATTCTGATTCAATTAAATATGCTTGGTAAAACTTTTTATAAGCATAGGTACCTACTGTATATAAAACAGAAACAAAATATGATTGTATAGTGTGTCTTAATTACTTATTTTACTAGAATGAACTGCTAGTATTAAAATCATTTTGGTCAGACTGTATAGGGTTGCTACATGCATACTAGAAGCGCCATCATTTAATGTCACGACTTTATAGACAAACTGTACTTTACCACGCCATATGTGATGCTGATGAAAGATAAAATAAAACCACTACACTACTACCACTACCTACTTAAGATAAAGTACTTATATCGTAAGTAGGATTGTACAATACATTATATTCCGGGAAAATGCTAGATTCCTGTGGGATTATCAAAAAACTAAAGTTCACGTGGACGAAGTCACGGGCGGCCGCTAGTTTTTATTTTATAAATGTGAAAGTTTAATGTTTGCTACCTACTTAATAACGCTAAAACGACAGAATGATTCATTAAGTTGAAATTCCGCACACATAGGAATATCTAGTTTATTACTTGGATTGCGAAAGAAAAAAAGGTGGCCCAGGGCCCCACACCTCCAAATCAACTTAAAGTGTAATGATAACTTTAGTCTTATAACAATCATATTCATACCTATCTACATATTTCTACTGAAAATAGCAAAGGAGATAAAAAGTGGTGCGGCGCAATAAAAATAAACTTCCTATTTAAGCTGATTAACGAGGAAGAAATACCTTCTACCAGTTCGCTTTCCAAAGACATTTCTGGAGTTGCTTCAGGCTTTGTGGTGATTGCAGCCTTAGCGCGTTTCTGTACGTCCTGGTTGAGTCGAGTTTTTAAGTCGTCGTATATCCTGTGTGTAAGTTATAGATAAACTAGCAAACCAGTGAACCAAATGTTCACCAAAACCTGATTTCTCGAAAACCGGAAGTGCTATGTTACTCAAATCCGGTTTGTAGTCTTATCAGACTATTCTTAACTTATAACTTAAATATTCTCTTTATCTATCTCTTACGGTTTGGCCGCTGAAACAGCACCACAGACAGACGGACGGACTTGTCTAATAGATAAGAGATGCAAACCCGTTAATCGTAAATCCTAACTAATATTATAAATGCGAAAGTGAGTTTACTTCTTTGTTTGTTACGCTTCCGCGGCTAAACCACGGAAATGATTTGAATTAAACTGGGTATCTACGCATATAGTTTATGACCTGGATTGAAACATAGGATATTTTTTATCCTAAATAAAAATAAGTCGTAAGGAAGTATTTACTAGAGCCATATGCAATAGAAAACCAAAAAGGGTCAAAGCCAATAAATTATTATGGAGGAATAACTAGAAATATGTTATACCCAAATTGTACAGTAATAACTTATTGTTATTAGAAGAACCAAAAATTCAAACTAAGTTCACTTTAAAAAGAATATATGTTAAAATGAATAAAACAAATGAACAGAAAAATAAATAACACAGTTTATATATACATAGATAATGAGTATAAAATGTAAAATTATAGTTAAGTTGATAGTATTTAAATGAATGAAATTGTAACTAATAGCAAAAAAACATGTATTTTATTTATTACTAGCTGACCCAGCGAACTTCGTACCGCCATAAAAAATAGGGGTTTGTGGTAGAAGGGTGAAAAATTAGGGTTATATGTATTTACTAACGCTGTATCATAAAAAAAAATTGAAAAAAAAAATTAGGGTTGGATTACCCTTAACATTTAGGGGGATGAAAAATAGATTACATCCGATTCTCAGACCTACTGAATAATAAAAAAGCTACTTTAACAGTCGGGACCCATTAGATATTCAAGAATGGATATTTTAATTTCAATAATGGGTCCCGACTGTTAAAGTAGCTTTGTTCCTTACTTATCAGAATTATAGACTACCTACTGGACTTGTTTTTTTATTTTCAGTTTTTATTTGAAGTAATATTTTAGCAGTCGGGTTTTTTGATCTTTTATTTATAATTTTTATTTTACACTTTTTAGTTAGGATTATAAGACGGCATATATCGCAGTCTTGTCACTTCAGTGAGGGAATTAATATCGCGCGAATTATTAAGAACCTTGCGGTGGTCTATGCGATTGATTTATTAAGACATAGAGAACTTACCAGTAGGGTCAAGGCTACAGATGGCTCAATTTTCGCAAAAATGTGTAAAGTTAAATCAAGTCCTTACCTATATATCTAATGAATGTAAATTTAATAGTTAACTATTACTGATTCAAAAAGTCATCTTTTGCTTATATTCTTTTTATTAGTTTAGAAATAAATTGAAATTCATTTACTTTTATTCATCGACTATCTAAAATTGGCAGTGGCTGCATTTTAATGTCAACGTCCGTCCCTAAAATTATGATATACACAAATACAGTGTCATTTCTTAGTCTCATAATTTGATATACCTACATAATTCACAGAAAACAAATATGTAGACGCCAGAGGTTAACTTTAAATGTTGTTGATCACCCTATATACAAAACCAATCAATGACGTTAATGTCGTAGGTTGACGAAAGCACTAATTGCCGTCTATTGTTTTGGACACTGGTGGCAACTGCCTAAGACCGCTAAATTAAATAATTATGCAATCACCAAAGCAAAGTTTATAATATTTGATTACATATAAACTAAAGGCGCAGAATAAAATTTTCATAGCGTTAGTAATGTATAAACGATAATTCTGCAATATTCAAAGATTTACTTTGAATTTGAATAATTGCAAAACCAACATTATCGTGAATTGATTAATAAATACAGAGAGTCCATTAAATATTAACCTACTAGCGAAAAATTGGTTATTTCTCATTAAATTAAGTAACCCTTTTTTTTGTAACATGAAGTAATATCGTTAAAATAAACTTTAAAAACTTAATGTATGATTATTGTAATTTAATGAAAATCTTTAATTTACATCATATTTTTATTATGATTATTTATTTTTCATCATTTAATAAGAAGGTACTGTGGAATACTTTTATTGTAAGTACTTCGTATAGGATAAGATACTGCGAGAAGCCTTTTTTTTCTATTTCGCCTAGGTTTTATCTACGTTTTTATACATCATAATTAAATTTCTTCTCCGACTATTCCCGCAGTCTACTCTTACCTATGTAAGAGTAGACTGCGGACTGCTGTCCGGCTCTAAGATTATGATATACACAAATGCAGTGTCTTAATCTAGTCTCATAATTTGATATAACTACATAATTCACAGAAACCCAATGCAGATGTGGAGATGCCAGAAGTTAACTTCAAATGCTGTTAGTCACACTATGTACAATACCAATCAATGACGTTTATGTCGCAGGTTGAAGAAAGCAGTACTCAAGTAAAGATTAACACTTAGTTGTCATTCTGTAATACGGGCCTTAGTATTCCCGCAGTCTCCTACATAGTACACCGCGCTATTTATTTATTTAAACTTTATTGCAAAATTACAAAGCAAATGCAGGACATAATGCCATAAGGCATTCTCTACCAGTCGACCAGTAAGAGCGTGAGAAAAAATCTAATATGACTAAAGACAAATTTAAGATAAACCAATGATACAAATACTCTTAACAGAATACATACATATTATACACACACATATATATATATATATATATATATATATATATATATATATATATATATATATATATTCATATACACACATTCATACACACACACACATATATACAATACATACATAAATACATGGTTATGTCAGTCAAATATAAGAACGCTGTTTAATGCTATTGAGATAGTGTTCATGAACCAATCCCTTAAATGCAATTTTGTTAGGAGCTTTACGTAAATTGGGGGGTAAGTCATTCCAAAGTCGTACAGCCTTGACAGTGAAAGAGTAGGAGACGAAGCCAGAAGAATGGACGGGAGTATGCAGAAGAAGATTGTCCGTTGAACGGAGAACACGGTCATGAGAATCACTCAGAAACCTAAATCTGCTTTTTAGGTAAACCGGTGTATGTGGATCGAAGAGAAGATTAAAAAGGGCACAAACAACTCTGAGGTTCCTACGCTCACGAATAGGAAGCCACTTGAGCTGATGACGAAAATGTGAAACCTGGTCGTATTTACGTAAGCCATATATGAAGCGGATGCAGTTATTGAGAAGTCGATCCAACTTATTCAAAAGATTTTCATTTATATCGGGATAACATACGTCGGCGTAATCGATGATAGGTAGAATGAGAGATTGAACAAGGACAATCTTGGTACGAGTGGGCAGAAAGAACTTAAATCTGTAAAGAGATCTTAGAGAATTGTTCACCCTATGCGAGACGAAATCGACATGGTCTATCCAGGAAAGTTTTTCGTCGACCATCAAACCCAAGTCCTTTACTTGAGCCGAGAAAGGAATAGTTACACCGTCAAAGAATATTGAATTAACCTGAGTAAAGTCAATTTGCGACAGTAGACGTGAACTGCCAAAAATGATCGCTTGACACTTGTTTGTATTGACTGAGATACCAAAATTAGCCGACTAGTCTCTGATCACACTGAGATTATGATTTAAATCTGCGACAGCCTCATTCAAATGAATGCTATCAGTGCTTGCATATAGTTGTAAATCATCAGCATACAGATGGTAAGAGGAAGTAAGAAGTTCTGTAAGAGTATTAATGAAAAGGGAAAAAAGTGAAGGAGAAAGAATATTCCTATCACTTTGTCTTCGTTGTAACTTTTTAAATATTTGTCGAAATGACATAGTATAAAAGGCAAAGTTTATCGTCTTTAAATATCAAAAGCGATAAAAGTATTTGTTTTGATAAAAAATAATTTGTTAATACAAAATGTGCATTTTGGAAATAGACATCAAATAATATTTTAGTTTTGATTCACTATTTTAGCGGTAATGGCTTACATATTACAAATAGATGTATGGTGTCAGGGACTTTCTTGTAGAACTATTTAAGAGATACATTTTCACTGTACACTACATTCATGTAACTTTTATTGTTTTTGCAGTGCAGGCCAAAATGACTCGCAGATGGGAGATTTTTTTCCGTCTTATGTGACACTTATTGTTATATTTTGGCCAATTCACTCAATAACTACATAAATTATTATATATATGTTATTGTCATATATGAGCTTTATTACTGTTAAATTTCATTAAAATCCATTTAGAATTTTTTTTGGTGAAAGAGTAACAAAGATCCATACAAACGTAAGATTGAAATTAAAAGCGTAAGTGGTTATACAACTTTAAAGCGATGTAGATCCTAAACAATATTATAAAATGAAAAATGATGTAATCATGATTTTCGATTATCTAGACAATGATACCCCACTCGACATATTTTGTCAGGTTATTTTTTTTTCTTCGTCACAATATGGCACCTATTTTTCCCCATATTGAATTTTGATTACTATCATATCTCTAGTAGCACTCCCATGATTGAGACGAATCGATTGATGTATGAATCATCAAAATATGTCCAGGCGTTTGGTCTCTAGTGTGCCACAAAGGAACAAACATATATACAGGGTGAAATTGAATGTTTCTATGAAACTTCGTGAGATTGTATAGAGTGTATAGAGTATGCCTGATTTTTTTCGGATTTTTTAAAATAAAATTTTTCGTTTTTTAATTTTTTATTTGGTTATTTTTTTGTCATTTCTTCCTTATGAGTAATTATTCATTTTAAACACGTGTACATAGAAGTTATAAAGCAACTTAAAATAAGCACTACTAAAAAAACGGAAACTTAATGAATGCCGTCATTATGCCTCCAGTCGAGATCAGCGCCGGTCGGGGCGACGACCGGCAGCCGCCTGTGTAGGTACCTACTACACGCGCAGATGACTCGGCGCTTACCTACTCTCCGCTTTGATCCACACTATTAAAAAACATTACAATAAAATAGTCTTAGATGCTATATTATAATTATTTATTCACTGATACACAATACCTTTGAATATTATTTCATAAAGCACAGGTAATTAATCAATAAAAAAATCTTCTGTTAGAGCAATTAAAAATCCTATAAAGTTAATATGACTGTCACGATTTTAAATCGGTAAAGCCTGTCTGTTAGTGTAAGAACTTCTCTTTTATTGTTAATGTTAGTTGCCTCGTTTAATTAAAACTTAAGCACAAACGGCTTATTTAAAATTGGGGAAAATCATACAGAGCAAATCGGTATAACTTACGAGCTTAGTGAAGGAAGGAACTCTTCGTGTCTGATTTGCCCACGTCATGAAATTCCCAACACATTTAATCACTGCCACAGTCACACACACACACACACACATAACAATATGTTGTTTTGCGGCAAGCACGGGCGGGCGGCGCGCCGCACGTTGGCAACTAGCGCCGGTTGCGGCGTCTTTGATGATGTGAATTCCGCCCACCTCCCCTCTTCCCCGCACGCGGTGGTTTGCTTTGATTGCATGCAAAACGCAGTCGCAAGTATATCAATCGCACGTGGGCGTGCGCATCTTTTGACTTAGTGACATACACTGTGATAATTTCATTATGCCTCGGTTTAGAGATGGTGTACTGCTATCGCGAGTGTGACGAAGTAGGTTTGGTTTACGAATGAGTCCCCAAACCATAGAAGTTGCATTTTGTGCAGTGAGTAGTGATAGGGACACTTTAAAAAAGGTGAAAAGACACGTCCGAAAACATGCCTACCTTTGTTTGCAGCAAAATGGTGGTTTAGATCAACAATTTTGCAGATAATAATTTAAGTCTCTTTTTATTGCTAGTGTAAATACTTTTTGATTAGAAACAACTAATTTTGTACTACCAGTGTGATTGATTTGATAAAAAGTTCTAGTGAAAAAAATTAATATGTTCCTCGTTCCTCGTTGTACCTACCTACATCGCCGGTCTCGTAAGTACTTTTGAATACCTGGTTATAAATTTCATTCTGACCCAAGTATTGAACTGCAATAAGTATTTCTTTTTGTTTAACATTTGCCTATTTCCAATCGTGACAAAATTATTATTAACTTTTAAAGTTTTTCTCTGCTTAAGAGAAGATGACATTTGTGCTTATTATTTCAATTTCAATAAAGGCATCTAAGACGATTTTATTGTATTGTGTGGAATCAAACGAGTTAGCTGAGCTCTGTGTAGAGGTAGGTACCTACTCACTCAACGGCTGGCGGGCGCGGTCGGTCGTTGACCCGCGGTGGAATTTTAATGTTTTTTCGTTTTTTAGAAGTGCTTATTTATTAGTTGTTTTTCACTGGATATGTAAGTTTGTTTGTTTAAAATGAATAACTACTCAAAAGGAGGAAACCCCCCCCCCCCCCCCGAAAAGTTAAGATATCAACATCAATAATATTAAAATAAGGAGAGGCGAGCATTAAATTAAGGATAGGCGAGAATTTATTTAATTACTAATTATTACACTAATAATGTATTTTGCATTCGCCCTCTACCACCCGCCGCTGCCCGTCATCATTTATCCGATCGCATTCGGTAACCTTCGTATATTTTCGTTTCGTATCGGCATGGTATTGTTATGTATCCCTATCCACACTATGGAGCGCGAGTGGCTCCCACTTTCGGCAGTGTTACCCGAAAGATGTACGTCTGTTGTCAAATCAGAACTTGAAGTGTGGAAAGCAGTTGTGACTATCACCTCCCCTACTCCATAATCTGCTTTGGAATGCTTATATAAGTGCGATCAAAAATTATATAAAAATATTTACACGTTGTACAAATATATACCTGTTTCCACTGCTACACCAGAAAGGACGTTTTCAAGCCTAAGGAGACTTAAAAACTACTTGCGGAACACAACCAGTAAAAACTGACTGAACTGCTTGGCTCTCGATGAATGAATATTTACTATGGGATAGAAATTGATGTGAATGAAGAAGTGGATATATTTAAAAAGAAAAACAGAAGATTAATTCTGCTGTAATCAAATGAACCTTCTGTTTCTTTTTAGGGTTCCGTTCCTTAAAAGGAAAAAACGGAACCCTTATAGGATCACTTTGTTGTCCGTCCGCCCGTCCGTCCGTCGGTCAAGACCATTTTTCTCAGGAACGCGTAGAGATACCAAACTGAAATTCATATCTAATACTCATGTCTACTGTCCCTTGGAGCTGTGAAAAAATCAAACTTCTGAGCCAAAGCAATCAAAAGATTTATGCCGCAAATTTCTGCAAATTTTCGAATCTCGCACGGGAATCAAAACCTACACAATACTTCCCGTGAACTTAGAATCTTGAAATTTGGTACGAAATAATGTCTTATAGTACAGATAAAGGAAAAATTGCGAAAACCGTAAATTTTTAGTTACATCATATAATAAAAATATTTTTGTAAATTTTAAAGTTACTACCTCTTTTCTCATGAACGCGTAGAGGTATTAAATTGAGTTTGTACGATATTTGTTTTCTTTATCTTTTTCAGCTTTTACAAGGTTGTCGTCATGGGGGACAGCGACATCAACAACTACTGCACGGCGTTCGTGTCGATCTGTCAATACAATATCGGGCTTATTAGCCACAATAGTCCTGTCTGTAATGATAGATCGATCCCAATATAATGCGGCATGGCTATTTTCAAGAACCTGTTCTGGAGCATACCTGTAGTAAGGAACCTCGGATGCTAAAAGATTGTATTTCAAAGCAAGTTGTTGGTGTATTATCCTGGCCACTTGGTTATGTCTATGCAAATACTCGCCATTCGCGAGACGAGAACAACCAGAGATTATATGCCTAAGGGATTCACCTGGGCGATGGCACGCACGGCAAACATCCAATGTGCTATCCTTCAGTATAAATCTCCGGTAGTTCTTCGTCATCACAACCTCATCCATAATTGCACAGCTAAAACCTTCGGTTTCAACAAAAAGGTCACCGAAACGTAGCCAGGATACTGATGCTGATAAATCTACGCCAGGCCCATGGAGAGCCCGGTAGAATCTGCCATGCAACTCCTTGCTTTGACATACAATGCTGTGATCCAAAGTACTAAGTACTACAGGCCTGCGCCAGTTTTCTTTTATTATTATTAAACCACAGCAGACTCTTGATAGAATACAATCCCCCTTTCCACTTAACTTCGACTGTCCCCATGCACCAGCAAGTCCAGCTGTTCTGTTTCTTTTATACGAGAACATTCCGTCAAAGCAGAGGTAATTTTTGCTAGATAAAAAAAAATACAGTTATTTTTTCTCCATAAGAAAATATTATATATCCCTAAGCATGTTGTACTTTGAGTCCAAAGCAGAATTCCTGTTAAGCCTACGTGAGGTTGAACCTCTAGGAGCTCATTTCTACGTTGCATCGATGTTTTAACTTTACTTTGCACAATAAACCTTTTCCTGCATACGTAACGTACTTATACACTTCAATCGATTTATTCAAAAACTGATCGCTCTAAGCCTTTTTCTCATTTGTTTCGATAAACGTGTGAATACTGCGATTTTTAATTGTGAATGTCCCTTCTTCCTGTCTACCACGACATAAATAAAACAAACACCTAACAGCCAAAGTTCAACATTGTTGCGCATCAAAAAAAAATAACATCTATGAGTTTGACAATAAATTTGGTTTGAATACAGTTTTTAAAACAATACAGTTTGAATACTTAAATCCGAAATTAAATAAATAACATTTAAATTCAATTTAATTTCATTTTAGGGTTCCGTAGTCCTGACAAGTAACCCTTACAGTTTGGTCATGTCCGCTGGCTGTCCGTCCCCGGTTTTGCTTGGAGACTGTTAGCTAGAGCTGAAATTTTATAGAAATGTGTGTACCTACATCAATCACGGCGACAAATTGGTAGTTATTTTTTTATATTTTCTTTAGGTTAGCTCCCCTACATGTAACCTGAGGATGATTTATCTTCATCATATACCCCATCGTGTGGATTATCGTCGAATAGGTCCTTTAAAATAACTTAGGGGTTTTAAAGACTATTTTTCGATTCAGAGATCCGTTTGCGAAATATTGAACTTTAAAGTGCTAATTTTTGTTCCATCCCCCTCTAAAAGCTAAACTATTGGTTTGATAAACCTGGAAAAACTCATGATAAAAGAGCCTTTTATGAACTTTTCATAGCTTATGAATTCATTTTGTTATTTCTGACGATAACAAAATGAAGGTCCGCCGAAGGTTTACAAATACTTCGCGCCATTTTCTTCAGAGGCATTTAAAAACCTTCGACGGTCAAAAATAACAAAAAGAAATCATAAGCTATAGCAATAGCCAAAGTAATCCCGAGAGTCGGTATAGGCCTTAGATTAAAACAAAAAGGGTAGATACGGTACGCTCCTACTTGCATCAAACAAAAACTGATCCCACGGCAGCGCGAACCGGACGGCGAGATCCGCGTCACTGCATTACCGACCCGAACGAAACAGCAAGTTAAGTTTCAACGGCAGCGCGAACGACACGGCGAGATGCGCATCACTGCACTACCGACCAATCACGCGACCAGTACTCGACGTCACTACCGAATAAGATTCAAAACAAACAGCATTTTTTATGAAAAAAATATATTTTATAGTACTTACGAATGAAAAGTGATGCCGTGGGTTTTATTTTTAGGTCTTGAGCAATTTCAGCACTTTTTAAAAACACACTTAGGCATTGTTTTATCATATAAACACAAAATATTAGCAATATTTCTTTTTGGCGTTCACATGTACGTCGTTTGCATGTCAAGTTGTGACTAAAGCGATTAGGGTCGTGGACCACAATTTAGGCGGATCACTTTTGTGAGGCTAGTGCCGTATCTACCCTTTTTTTTTAATCTAAGGTATAGGCCCCCTGTATGGAAAGGAGAAAGAGTGATATTATGCACCTACCTCTGTCCCAAAGCCTGAATGATATCATCGGTACGTTTCTCTGCATCGCTGCGAGTGTCCCTGAGAGGCACATGCAAGATCAGCTCGCTGTCTGATTCCATTGCCCTTCGGTAACGCAAAATAGCCACCAGCAGCTCCTTCGCCCCTTTCAAGGTCTGCCTTTCGTCGTCCTTCCATTGCTGCTCTAAAGTTCTGATAACGAGGATAAAACGTGTAAAGGAGTTCAGATTGTTTAAATCGAGAAAGAAAAAAAAAACGTTTACATTTTTTACCAATAATACAATTATAAAGAGTTTTCACACTACTTGTAGATATGCATTCATTACATTCCTAGAATAGGCTTGAAGCCTTTCCAGCCCACCGGGAGTAGCAATATAATAAGGGAGCCCAAGAGGGGATTTAGGGATTTACTCGAGCGCGGCAGATTAATATATGGGAAGATACTTTACATCTAGTATACCTCTACCAAATCTGACGTCTCCATGTAGTGCCGCGCGCGTAGACCAGCCGATCAGAATATTAAAACAAACGATAGGCGGAAATACTTGAGCGCGTCAGATTAAGGTATGGTGGTTTAATTACATGCTGAAAAGTGTGTATTTCAATAATCTGACGATTTGAGCGTGACGTAAGGGAGTCGGAGGGTGGAAAAGTTGCAAAAAAAAACAATGTCTGGACATTCTCGAGCGCGGTTGATTTTTTTTCTTTAATTTAAAGATCATGGAAAACATATAATCTGCCGATTTGCACAAGCCGAAGTAACAAAAATCGTTAATAAAGTGTTGTGCGTGCAGCTTCAGCGAAGCATATATTTCATACTACGCGTCTCTCTCTATGTCGCTCTTTCTCTATCTTCCACTCTCTCGCACCGTCCCCACATCACTTTCTGTCTACCATTACGCTTTCACAGCTGACCATAGTCACGGTAATAATATCATACAGTATTCTATCTTCATACAAACGGTCGGAAAGCGAGTCATACCTACGCCACTCGAGTTCGATGTGCTCTCGGCGTGCACCCAGTCGCGAATGCGCCGCCGCGCCGCAACGACGACCGAACGGTCTGAATTGTTTTTTATGCAGTTAGCCGTGCTTAAAAATGCGTTTTGTATTATAAGTATTTGATTTAATTAAGTAGATACATACATAATTTAGTATGGAAAAGAACAAACGACGATCAATATCGTACAACAGCACAATTGCTGTTTTTGGTTGCTTGAATAACACACCCAGAGATATCATTTTTTAAATTACCTGAAATATTGGAAAGGTGTCTTACCTTTATAGAATATTTTTTATATACCTATCTACTAGTACGTTATTTGTTTCTAATATTTAGGTATTTCGGTTTTTCCATCGGGCAAAATATCTGGAATAATATATAAATAAGTGGTTAGGATGAAAAAAGAGACAAACGAGTAATCTACCTACACTCGCGTTAAAAACAAAACTACATAAAATACTGTAGGCTGGCGGCCCTACCGCGTGCCAATGCAGCGTTCGGTGTAGGCATTTATTTTGAAGGACAGGGCGGAGTCACAATACTGTATAGATAATATTACCGTGCCATAGTGCTCGTGAACCTCGTGGAATTATATGTACAACGCTCTGGTTTGTTTGTTTTATTTGAAATTTTGCGAGTTTGATATTTACTATCACGAAGATGAGTGACAATATTATAAAGTGTGTGTTTTGTGGACAAAATACATGTCAAAAGATTGTAAAATTTACATCGGTACAATTGTAAAGCTTACCAGAGACTGAAATGTAACACTTTTTTTTATTTATATTTTATTGTATTTTGTGAATAAATTTTTTCGCCAACTTTTCGCACGAACGCTGAAGCAAATGAGCTAATTTGAACAATGAGTGTATCTTGGCCTAATTTCCTGATTAGATTTTCAGCTTATTTTTATTTGCATGCTGTTTTTTATGAATTTTATTTATCACATTCAATGATTTGAAAGAAATCACGGAGAAAATTTACTTTTAACCGTCAGATTAAGAAAATCCCTCCGAATATTCATCAGATTATGGATCAGCATGACCAGGGCATCAAGCTGAACCGCCTGTATGAAAATCTGACGCGCTCGAGTATTTCCAGATGGCATTTTTTTTTGCATTTATCAAAAAGGCGTCACGAGCTTGCGTCGCATCCGAATCGTCAGACTTTTGGATTTGAGCTTCGTTTAGGCTCACTTAACATCCCCTCTGAATATCTGATGCGCTCGAGTAATTTTATTTTCCGCATTTTCAATCCATCCGTACGGCTAGTCCCACCATGCAAACCGGAAAATTAACATTCTTCCGTCATCAGAGACACAAGGGGCATATACAATATCAATATCTGACGCGCTCGAGTATTTCAACGTGTCTATTTTGACGTGACAACGTCTTAAATTAGGTTGCGGCTGGGAGTCACTTATGAAAAAGTGTAACGCTCGGTAACGTTACGATGAGTCTCTCGTGTTAAGTTTAAGTTTACATGTACAATGTTTTAGTAAACAAAATATATTTCTATAGTTAAAATTTGTGCAATTCTTATTTTCATTCAATTCCTTGTTCCTATTGTGCAATTTAATTATATTCATATCAATAAATATTCTACCGAGAAAAAGACGTTGTCACGTAAAATCTTCGCCCGTAAAACCGACTTTACAGGCAACCATTTTTTTTTTACATTTTTGAAAGCTTCTGGACGCTTGTTCCACCTGTGAAAGGGTATGCATCATTTAACCTTTTTTTCTTTCTATCATCTGATCTTCAAAATTCAATAGGTCTCCACGACGCTCGAGTAAATCCCCATTTAGCATTGTGGGCCCCCTTACTAATCCGGGGCTATGCGAGACTTCTTTTGTATATAATATAGGGGGCATACCGACTCACCTGTTGGTAAGTGATCACTGTCTCCCCTATGGGGAATCACTCACATAACTCATGCCTTTGTTGGACGTAAGATACTAGTCGGTAGCTACTTAGATACTTTTTATCAGTGCTAGGCCCCCGCCTTAGCAGTACATGTACAATACTGCTTTGCCCTTTAGTATTAGGATTTACTCTTGTAAAATCTTTTAAGTCGGTTTCCATTCTTGAAAAGATTTCTTTGAGCCACATCTTCTATCTACATTATGATTTAGGTACTACCGGCGCGGTGACCAGTTTCCTTTCATTTTTGGCTTTTTTGGCATAACATATCCTTCCATTGTTGATGGCAACATCTATTAAATAACATATGACTATTGGCTAACCTGATAATAAAAGCCCTGGGAAGTCTTTCAGGCAGAACATTGGGTGGTTTCATAGGTTTGGGTTGATATCTGTCGTACGGTCTCATCCAGTGGTAGAAACCTTTACCGGAATCTTTTTTCAAATCTTTGTATGTCAGATGTTTCGGTTTATCTGCCAACTTCGAATCCATCAGCCATTTCTATTTAATTAAAGATATTTGCTTATTAATGCCCGCAGTATAAAACCTAACATATAAAAATAATAACCACCTTTAAATATATAAAAAAACTTTTATATAATTGGCGTTGCGTGCCGCTTTGCTGCCACGGCGGAACTCATACTCCTTAATCACTCGAATTTTTAACGTATCCATGATGACGACAAACGTACGTAACAGAAAGCTAACCAATAAAATTACTAAATGTCAAAAAAGAGTTCCCTGTTTTTAAAATAAAAAATATTTGAACTAATAATTCTTAACGAAAATGTAAAAAGCTAGTACGGCAGAATGGCAATTTCATAGGATAAGATCTATTAATTGGTGTGCGTGAAAATATAAGAAATAAATAAATGATGATATTATACATATTATCACGTTTCTATTACGTCCACCATATCCACGTTATAGTACCTACTTACTGTAGCGATAAAATCGTGGTATATAATTCAGAACTAGTGGATGCTCGCTACTTCGTTTGCGTGGAAAAAAAGGTTTCAAAAATGAATTCTGGAATATGTACTATACCATGTACTTTCACGGGACTAAAACTATCACCAAATTTTATCTCAATGGATGCAGCGATTTAAGCATGAAGATATAGTTGCTCATGCTCATGCTTGAAGGACTGAAAACATGGAGCACACCCACGACTGGAAAACACTTATTTGATTGAACCACCTGACTGGTCTGTCAAAAAACTATTTAACGTCAATAAATGGAGTCAGGGACTTGTTAGGTATATTAAAAGTGTAATAAATAAATAAAATAGCCTTTATTGCTGTTTCTTTTTACAAAAAACTATGCCTACTTGCTAAAAACTAAATATACATTTTAATTTGTGTTAAAGTGATCGGCAACTGGTTGCTTATGTTGAACAGCTTGTCTGTCGACAAAGGCCTCCTCTAAAGATTTCCACGTATTTCTGTCTCTTGCTAATCGGCTCCATGCTGGGCCAGCTATTTTCCGCAAGTCGTCTTCCCATCTTTTGTTTTGTCTGCCTCTACTTCTTTTTCCATCCCTTGGGTACCATTCTGTTACTAACCTACTCCATTTTTCTATACTTTCTCTCGACATATGTCCCGTCCAACGCCATTTGAGCTGTCTGTAGGCTGTGTGTGCATTTTTAAATTTGGTCTTTTTCTTAATTATTTGTAATTTTACTCTATCCCTCCTTTTTATACCCAAGATGCTTCTTTCCATTGAATTTTGGCAGACTTTTAACTTGTTCTCTTGTAACTCTGTTAACGCCCATGTCTGGCACCCGTATAGCAAGCATGGCATAATGCATATTTCGTATACTTTCTTCTTTGCTGTCATTGGCATGTCTTTATCCTTGAATATTTCTTTAAGAGACCAAAACTTTTTCCAAGTGTTAGTTATTCTTCGTTCTACTTCTTTATTCATACTTCCATCTGTAGATATTAGTTGGCCCAAGTATATATATTCGTTAACATATTCTATTTGTTCGTTATTTACTATAATCAGTTCGTTGGGTTCTGTCTGTTGGAAATTCGTCATAATTTTGGTTTTCGTTAGGTTCATTGTCAGGCCGGCCTTTTCGCTTTCGTCGGATAGTTGCTGTAACATAATTTCCAGAGTTCTTGCATCCTCTGAAAATAGAATCAAATCGTCTGCGAAGCGTAGGTGATTAAGATTTTCACCATTTATATTGAGGCCATTTTTGGTCCAGTTCAGATTTCTAAAAATCATTTCCAGCACCGCTGAAATTATTTTAGGTGATATCGGATCTCCTTGGCGTACACCTCTTTCAATAGGAAATTCACTACCCGTAGATTCAAGTTTAACTTTTGCTGTACTCGCTGTGTATACATTTTTAATTATTCGTATGTATTTTTCTTGAACCCCTTGTCTGTTCAGAGCGTCTCATATATAGTCATGTTCCAATGTATCGAACGCTTTGTTGAAGTCTACAAACCCTATGTAATATTTTTTATTATATTCACTATATTTTTGTAGAATTTGTCTGAGCGTGTGTATGTGATCTATAGTAGAGAATTTGCTTCGGAAACCAGCTTGTTCCTTAGGTTGGTTTTCATCCAGTGTATTGGTGATTCTGTTAAGTATGATTTTTGAAAATATTTTGTAAATATTGGACATTAAACTGATCGGCCTATAGTTCCCCATATCGCCCTTGTCTCCCTTCTTATGCAGCAGTATGATTGTCGATTTGGTCCAATCTTCCGGGATGGTTTCTGTTTCGAGGATTTCATTAAACAAATCTGTAAGTCTAAGGGCCATCACTGGTAATGTAGTTTTTAACAGTTCGTTTGTGATTAAATCTGATCCAGGCACCTTATCTAGTTTTTGGGATTCGATAGATTTTATTGTTTCTTCCTTCAGAATTGGCTCTATCTCCTCTTTATTTGCTGAGTTATATTCCTCTATTACTTGTTCACCTTTACGACTTTGATATAGTTTTTTGTAGTAATCCGTTGCAATTCCTAATATTTCTGATCGTTTGCTGGTCTTCCCCCTGTCTTTATTTGTCATGTTTGGAATCCAGTCCTTTTTGCAGTGTAATTCTTTTAATGCCTTCCTTATTCCTCCTGATTTCTCTATATGTTTTCTTAATGTTGTTAACCTTTTTGCTTTTCGTTCTTTCCTCAGTTGTTTACTAATTTCCTTACTTAAATCTGCTATTTTTTGAGAGTTATTATTATTATTTTTTCCTTGCTGTATAAGTTCCTTCCGTTCTTGTAATAATTGCTTGCTTTTCGATGACATCTCTGTTTTACTAATCATATTTACTCTTTTAGTTTCTAACTTTAATTGTTGGAGAAGCTTGGTGTATTTTTCTTGAGTCGATTTACATTCGTTTTCTTTTTCCCCATTTTGCAAGGATATGTCGAGGTTTTTAAGAAGTAGATCAGTATCACCGGTGCATTCAATAGCTTTCATATTGATGTTGCATTTTCGTGCTCTTTTAGCACGTAACCCTGATAATTTTGCTCGAACTATTCTATGATCGGAGTTAAAATTAAATCATTTAAGACAGATAGATCCTTAAAAACTTTTACATTGTTAGACATTATATAGTCGATCTCGTTTTTATACCGGCCATTAGGAGATATCCAAGTCCATTTATTTGATGGTTTCTTTTTGTAAAAGCTGTTTATGATGCTTAATTTATTTACAATAGCAAAAGATACTACCCGAGATCCGTTTTTACTTCTATTGCCAAATCCATGAATTCCTATGGTATATTCTTCTCCATTTTTCTGTTTGCCAATCTGTCCGTTAAAGTCTCCCATAACTATTATGTTTTTATGTGCATTTGCGGTGGTCGATTGTAGATCTTCATAGAATTTTTCGATTTTTGTTATATCTTCTTTCCTGTCTGATTCGGTAGGCGAATACGTCTGAATTATGGACCATAATTGATCTACCTCTCCATCTACAGGTAATTTGATATTGAGAAGTGCTATCCGTTCTGAAATTCCTTTGAATTCTTGTATGCTTTTGGCAAGGTTTCTTTTGACCAGGAATCCGACTTCGTATAAACCGGGCGTTTCCCCAATATGGTGCAATATGTATTTTCCATGATCCTCTATTTTTTCTCCTAATCTTCTCACTTCACTGATACCAATTATGTCCGATTTTATTTCGTCCAGCGCTAATTCCAGCTCTTGTAGTTTTTCCGGGGTTCCTAGTGATCGACAGTTTAGTGTCGCTATATGTATATCGTTATATTGTATTCTCTTCCTATTTTCTATCTTTAGAGGGTCTTGGTCATTTTCCCCCACGAGGACCAGTCGGTTTGGGGGAGTTTGATGGTTTCTAATTGATTGCTTTTCTGTATTAAATAGTTGTGTTTTCCGGTTGCCGATAGCTAATTGTTATTGCTTATTATTATCCGCCGTACAGGAGAGAGAGAGAGAGTTGGATCTGCCTCTCATGACATCAAAAGCGTTACGCCTATTATTTAGTGATGGTGTCCATGTTTGTTTCTTAACTTGTGAATTGTTTTGCGGCGATGACGATATTTCTCTCTTCCTTTTATCCTTGGTTGTATCTGTGTCTTTTTTGTATTATTATTTTCTTTTACCACGAGCTTGTCGTATTTTAGATATGCAAAATTCCCTTTCATTCTTTCTTCTTTCAGTCTAGTTTGTAACAATTTTCTCTTTTCCAAAACTTCTTTAGAATAATCCTCGGTGATATATATATCTATAAAATTCTTCCGGACTTTCACTATCTCATTTTTCTTCCAAGCATTGACAAAGGAAAGCAGAACCGGTCTGGGCTTTACACCTGAGCTTCCCTTACCAATGCGATAAATGGTGTTTATTTCAAAATCCTCAATATTTATATTTATATCTTTTTTGAATATTTTCTTTGCTTCTTGTATTAGGCCTGACGTAGATTCTTCTCCCTCCTTTAATCCAAAAACAATAATGTTGTTTTGCTTCTTATCTCTTTTCAAATACTCAATTTCATTCTCGAGTTTATTTACTTTTATCTTTAAATCTTTGTTTTCTTCTATAATAGGTTTTATTTTTTCTTCCATTTTCTCCATAATTGAATTAGTTATAGACTCTTTCAATTCAACGGTCTGTTTCTGCATTTCGATTTTCATTTTATCGAACAAAATTTGAAATTGCTCATCCATGTTTAATTTCTTTTCGTAAAATGGAACGCAAAACGGAACGCAGCGGTAGAGGTAATTTTCAAGCTGGCAACACCGATTCAACGAACGTCACCGACAATATCAGTCAGACAGTATTACTATGACACATGACATTTCTAATAATATTCAATGTGAAAAATTTCTAACCTCAATTCTTGCTTTGATGTAGTTAGTTCTATTGTCACGTTAATTACTCCAGAGTCAATATTTCCACAAATCCACTGCACTTATTATTGTGTTTTCTAATATTCGTTGTGTACGATAATCCGTAAATATTTTTTAATTACAATAAATTTAGGGACTGCACTACAAAGGTGTTTACGCTTCGAGCACCGGAACCGGAAAAAAAAAAGTGTATTACGGTTTAAAGAGATCATGAATTGCAGAACTCGCTGACCATAGAGTGCTGACAGACCGACAGGCAGCTGGGTATCGTAACAGCGTTCCGTTTTGTAACTGCTTAGGCAAGATAAGGAATGCTTAAATAACTAATGAAAATAAGTGAAATCAACGACGTATTAAAAGTACCTCCGTTTCTGTCAAATGCACGGGTGTGAGTATTGATAAAAGGCTACGATGATCACCAAAGGTATCATAATGATTGATTAAGCACCACGGCTGCCAGCGACAATTTTGTTTATATTCATTCAAAATTGCTCGGTGCACCAATTCAGAACAAGTAAGATCCCTGAAAGTGAAATATGGTTGTAATTATATCAAACCTACAAGTAAGAGCAGTAGCAGCATTAAGCAAGCATGTCAATTTACCGATTAAGCACAAAAAATCTCATAGCTTTAGCTAAAAACATCTCTCTGCATTTTACATGAGATAATATTGAAGTGTCAGATTTATTATCATTTTTTTTATCTTCCACGTTTTCACTTACATCATTAAGGCATATTTCTTTCGAATTTGGTTCATCCATGATTGAAATATGTCCTTCTTCATTAACAACAATATTCTTTCCGAAAGAATCTTTCATTTTTAACCAGTTCTGGTGCATTTTAGTGACACTACTCTTATCATCAGTTCTTACTCTGATAGATGATGACGTAGTAGAACTGCATTCTGAACAAGATCGATAGTCTATATCAAGAGTTTTCCCATCAAATTTTGCATTAGTTAAATTATCAAGACATATATTGTAATGATTATGAATATCAACTACTACCTTTGTCCCATTAGGAGAATCCACAGCGATTTCACCATTAGATTTGTTTATTGTAATTGTAGAAAAATTTGCATGCTCAATTGTATACATTATTTGTACGGAAACGTAACCATCAGTGCGTTCCTTTTCTTTAACTTGTTCTTCTTCAAATTTTGAACTGGCTACACTAGCGCTGTAGTTACGCGACTCTACGTAGCTTTTTTGAGAAACAGAACCTTTAGATTTTACAGTGCTCGTTTCAATTTCGTCGGAGTCAAACAGAAAAAACAGATTTTTTTCTTCTTCTGTCCACTCAGGATAAATAAGTTCATCCTCTACAAAGTAATTCGTTATTATCCTAGTATTATTTGGAAATGTAACTACGTGAACACCATCTTTGTTAAGCAAAATATTCGTCCCGTCCATACGTCTTGAAAAAACTTCTCTTAAGCAATAATCTGTAGCAGTTCTGATAAGCAAATTTTCAATAGGATGTGGTATTTCATTGATCCATCGCTGTCTCAGTCCATTTGATTCAATTGTTTCAAAATCTTCAATCACTAGGGCATATTCTGGACTTACCTCAAACGAATCATCGACATCAGTGTTCTTAGAAGATTTTGATGGGGTTTTACTTCTTACCTTGTTTTTGTCAGGAGCTTTATCTTTTCCCTTTACTTTCTTACTCTTCTCGGAACTAGTCTCACTATATGTTTCTTGAGGTTCAGATTGAATTAATTTCTTTTCATATTTAGTTATCCTAATAATTGATCCATCTGGCTGTAATACTTCAATAATTCCTGAAGGTCTGAAGATAATAACTTCGCCCTTCAAACTTACGAATCGCATTTCTTCATCTAGATTCAAAATGGGGCTTATGTAGTACTGTTTTATATGGGATACATCAGAGGAATTTTCTATATGTACAGATTCAGTTATTAGGCCGTTTGGCCAAGTAACTAATAGAGAATGCAAACAATGATTTTCAAATAAACTAGTGTTTTCATCGTTATTTACCGTGGGCGCTGTTCTACTTATATTATCTGACAGTGTAATTTGTGGAAGAGGAAATGCATAATTTAGCTTTTTTATGTATATTACGACATGGTGTTTGCTGGTAATTCTAAATGACTCACACATGTCCATAATTTCAGCAGGAACATAGTCACCCAAAGCTCTGTGCAGCCAAAATTCATTAGCAGTATTTCCTGGTACAACATTCAAGATAATAAACTCTAAATTTCTCGGAATTGTGAGTGTATATTTGCTAATAACACGTGTGCCATCTTTAGAAAAAAATGTTGAATTCTGTCCAAATACTTCTACTCTCCTATTACCTAAATCATACCCTATGAATGGTTTTTTAATTATTTGTACTGATGTGTCAGAACTAGCACCTGGTGCCATAAACGATTGACGTAAGTGTTTAGGGGTAGAACCGGTTGATTTAGTTTTCTTGCCACTTTTAGAATCGACTTCTATGGAAATAGGTGATAAAGTAGTTTTTTTGGAAGTAAAATTAGTATTCGAAGTCTCCGGACTAACCTCTTCCATTTTAGCTATTTCTTGATATTTTAAAGAGCCTTCCATTAAAAGATCTAATTCCACCTCTGTTGTTTCTATACACGACTTTTCAGGAAACGGATTAACACCTTCCTTGCACGCAGACTGTGATCTGATTATAACATTTTCTTCATATATTTTCTCCCCATTTTGTATCCAGTCAAAGTTCTCTTCGAGTACAAAATCAAAAAAATCTTGAAGGCTTATCGGGGTTGGTATATGACATCGCCATTCTTGATGAGATACGCCATCTTTGTCATGACTGTTAAAAAACATTAGTACAATGCTATCAGTCACTTCACAATATTTGTAGTCTATACAGTTAAACATGTTAAATGCTTCAAGTAGTATTTGAAAGGCACTGATGCTCGTAAAATCTTCAAAATATTGAAAGTCATCAAACATATGGTTGATGGGTTGCTCATTGGCAATTTCAGCTGCTGACACCAACTCACTCAAGTCTGGACAATCGAAGAGAAATTTTATACGAAAATCTTCAGGATCGTCTTCGTGGGAAACATTAGACATTTTTTCGCTTTTTGTCAGAGATAGATACGACGGCGACATGGAATTAGAGATTTTCAACAAAGATGGACATTGAGGCAAAGGCTCAGCTAAAATACTGCGTTTTAAATATACTTTTTTAAAGTCATTAATGGTTGAAGATGTTACGTCTTTAGTCTTCAATGAGCTTCTATTATTGTATAATTTGCGGCACGCTAAAATGTGTATGAGTCTATTTAGTTCCGCAGTTTCAATATCTTTTCTATCGAAACAAGATAAAAGCAAATTAACATGAAAATTAATTTTGGCTTCAAGTTCTCCATGAGCCTTATTAAAACTTTTCCACAAACTATTTAGTGGCATACCTAATAATGTAGTCGAGACAATATTGTCTAGATTAATATTCCCTAAATGGAATGTTGAATATTTCGCAGTATCACCGTAATTGATAACTATAGGATCTTCGTGTTGTTCGTATTCCTCGCCATAAGTAATACGAAAAGATTTCTTATTAGCATCTGTTTTACATAAAGTACTGAAAACATTCTTTACTAGCTTCTCTGCTCGTGATATCTTTGTTTCTTCGTCGACACTCTTACTTTTAGCCTTGGTACACATCAAGGGGGTAGATAATGAAGTTATACTACTATTTTGCTCTAATGCCTGACTTTTTTCCACAGATAAGAGAATACTATTTAAAATTGAATAAACAGTAATGCATTCCAAGGGGAAATCTTGTATGTCTTCGAGATAAAATTTGAATTTTCGATCATCGCTTTTAGCTAAAGGAATTTGAATGATATCCATATTTTCTAAATAATGCACATGTTGTCTATTCAAATCCTGGACATCGTACATCAAAAAGCATAACTCATCATAAATTTTTTCGGAATTTCCCGACAGATTATCGGATTCCCAGTAAGGAGGGGTAAAAACTATGAAAGCTGTATCTTTAAAAATATCAGCAGTCTCTCTCTGGATACGCAGATTTTGTATATCTTCCCAAAATTTCATCGATTTTTCTCCAAGAATTTCAGTTTGACTTTGACCTCTCTTACTAGTTCGAATCAAGCTAGAGGGTACTTTTGTTGCAGTGCAATCTATTCTAACTTGAACAACGGCTGTCAAAGGTATGCCTATGTTTATAAGACAGGCAGGCAAGTCTGGCTCGACAAAACCAGTTATAGCAACATAGAGGTTTGGTCCTTCTGTTGGAAAATCATCAACGTAAACTTTGTCTCTCCATTCTTCACCACGAACTCTCAATGAAGTATTGTATTTTTTCCCATCCGTAGGATCAAAAGTTTGTGAAATCGGTTCTTGGTCTTCTTTCTTACCTTTACCTTTAATGGGTGACGGTAGATCAAGAGGCTCTGGCGGTTTCACACTTACGGTACCCCTTACTTCCACTCTGTCAATCATAGTTGCAGATTCGTGTCTCATTCCTTCTCGGACTTCCAACCGCTGCCTTTTTATGAATAGATACTCTTCTTTCATTTTAAGAATAAGATGTTTAATAATTAATGCCAATATATCAGGAGGTATTTCTTTTTTATCTTTTAAGAAATATTGTCCTTCTTCGAATACACGGAGATTATCATCTTTAATTTTTTTCTCACTGCCCAGCTGGTTGATCATAAAAGTAGTTTCAGTTTTGCAAATATTTTTTATCACAAATCGTTTTTCATCGGCTGCAACGGTTTCGAACTTATTGATATAAATACGATCTTGATCACTACCAGCCGCTTCAATAATGATGACTTTCACTTTCCAATTATCTTCGTCAAGAGTTGCGTCTTCTATTGATGTCCTCCAATAATTTTCATCTGCGGTGGGGTCTCTCCCTTTTTTTGGTCCCATTATTAATATTTGTGATAAGTATAATAAAAATTAGATACTCATACCTAGTTACGTCTTCGATGCGATAAACACTACCTAACACATAAACTTTAAATTATTATTATTTTGCTTCTTTACTAGAGGTAAAAATAAAATAATAGATTATTTGGTCTTGAAGAATTTAAAACACTTGAAGGAAGAACTGACGTTATACGTCATTCAAGTCATCTTTATTAACCCGATCCATAGACAGTATCATATCGAGATTCTTCGTAAGACCTAATACAATGTGTAGGGTAGGATGGGGTGCAGTGTTACAAAAAAATATACTGGAATATAATGACGAAATATTGTTTTAATCAGCTAGTTTTTGGTATGAGAATAAACTTTTAATATTCTTTCTTTAATTAAAATAGCTCAATCATTAACATTATTAGGAACTACTTAATTTAAATTGCACTTTAATTAAATCAGTCGATTGTAATACTGAGCCTCGTATGTGGGGTAGTCTGTTACAAGGTAAGGGGCACAATGTTACAACATAAAAAAATAGGAAATTAACAAAAAGAGAAAAAAAAAAATGCTTCTGCAACGCCTTTTTCTGAGCGATACTGAATACCGCTCTATTGGTATAATTTTGAGTAAGTTCTATGTTTCCAGCTTCATGCTCCGAACATTTTTTCTTCATCTGAACATATCTTTGTAATGTCATAAAATTTACGTGATGTTCATTTGCTGCCTTTCGAAGACTAACACCACTTTCAACCATCAAAATCGCTTCTGCCATATCTTTTTTACTGTGAAGATCATAATCCGTCTTCCTCTTACGATTTCGTACCATTTTCTTTTAATACCTTGACATAGTACAGTGTCACACAGTGCCCCAGGGGGGCAAACAAAATTGAAAAATTCGAATGAATATTTTAGGTAATGTTTACATCAAATAATTCAAAGGTAATATGTAGCTAAATAAATTTACCTCAATGCAACATGTTCGAAAAAAAGTCAAAAACTTTTCAAGAGACGGCTTTTTCAACGTTTAATCACACAAAAACAATTTTTGTTTGTTAATTTTCAAGCGGGGTACAAACTGTGGCAGAAACAACGGTTTATAGATGGCGGCTTGTGAGCTTGACATACGTGTATACCAACATCATAAAACTAATAGAAAGAGACGGAGAAATGTGCATTGTAACATTGTACCCCGTGTAACACTGTGCCCCGCCTTACCCTACTCCTGTATGGATAGAATGAGCTTAAAGTAATCTTGATAGAGTTAAATTATTCTCATAAATAACAAAATTAAATTATATATTTTTTTAATTAAACAATATACCTATCATTAATCTGAGGTTTTGCCAAGGAACTTATATACCATCTGGAATGGTTACGAAATAATATGAGAATTCTAAAAAGTTATACCTACATAAAGTAAATTTTTGTTTCTACCTTCATAATAGGGAAAAATACTCCGAGCGGGACAACGATGAAAGTGGAATCTATCCCTGTCTTGCAATTGTCAGTGTTAATGAAAATAATCAAATGGTACTTTTAACATGATGATTAAATGCTTGTGATTTGCTGGTGCAAAATGATATTTTTTTTATACAAAATGGTGTAAAAGTGAGTCGTATGCTGGTTATGGAATTTCATTAATAGGTAAGTTTTTGACTTCTGTTTACAAATTACATGTGTAGGGTGACAAAACATTATTAATTTTCCTACGGAAAGTATATTAATGTCATCATCAGCATATTAATGTTCACGCTCGTGAGGCCTTTCCTATGGATAGAATATGGAGATTGGGCTAAGATCCACGAAGCGGACCCAGGGCGGATTGTTGGGTGCTAAGACTGCAGCTGCAGCCGGGACCAACAGCTTAACGTACCTTCCGAAACACGGAAGAGCTTTTAAAATAATAATCTGTAATTTAACTAATTAATTAATTAAATATTATTTAGTGGTTTTATTTTCATTTTTGTTTTCCTAGGTATCTGAAGTATACATAAGAATTATGTATTGAAAAACGTATCGTTAGATAAATTTAAATTTAAATTTGAGAACCGTAAATCGTGTTCAATGTTCGATAAAAAAGAGATGCAATAGATATAGTGACATATTTAATAAACTCGGAAGATCATTTAAAAATTTTAAATTTTTTGGACTTTCAAGCTAAGGATATACACAGTCAGGTCATAAGTATTGTCACACAGTAAAAACTTTTCTTTTAGAATGCTGGTCACAAAAAAGTTTATTGAATTCGAATTGTTCATGAAAATAAAAATGTATACTTTTTAGAATTTTACTCATTTTCAAATATGGAGTGGACGCTTAAAGAAGACCGTGTTGCAGTTGTGGCGTTGCATCGTAGCGGTTACGCGCCAATTCAAATTGACATATATAACCAAAAGATTCGTTTATCGTACCATCAAACGATACAGTGAAGACTAGTGTGAATGACAGGTCAAGAAGTGGTCGCCCTTGGTCTGTTAGGACTCCAGCATTGATAAAAGCCGTGAAGGCGCGAATTCAAAGAAATCCCAAACGTAAGCAGAAACTGTTGGCCCTTCAGATGGGGTTAAGCAGAACCATGGTGAAAAGGGTTTTAAATGAAGACTTAGGGCTTCGGGCATATCGAATAAAAACAGGACATCGTATGAATGCTCGTCTAATGGACCTGAGACTGAAGAGATGGCGCGCTTTGTTGAAGCGGTACGCGGGAAAAAAATATCGGGAAATTCTTTTGACGGATGAAAAAATTTTTACCGTAGAAGACAGCTACAACAATATAATATTCCGCGTGCCCAACGAGGTCATTTTCCATCCTCACTCATGGTATGGTTGGGAGTTTCTTATTGGGGCTTAACAGAGGTACATTTCTGTGAGAAAGGTGTAAAAACGAATGCAGTTGTGTATCAAAATACAGTCCTGACGAACCTTGTGGAACCTGTTTCTCATACCATGTTCAATAACAGGCACTGGGTATTCCAACAAGATTCGGCGCCAGCTCATAAAGCGAAGAGCACACAAGACTGGCTGGCGGCGCGTGAAATCGACTTCATCCGGCACGGAGACTGGCCCTCCTCCAGTCCAGATTTGAGTCCGTTAGATTACAAGATATGGCAACACTTGGAGGAAAAGGCGTGCTCAAAGCCTCATCCCGATTTGGAGTCACTCAAGACATCCTTGATTAAGGCAGCCGCCGATATTGACATGGACCTCGTTCGTGCTGCAATAGACGACTGGCCGCGCAGATTGAAGGCCTGTATTCAAAATCACGGAGGTCATTTTGAATAAACTTTATTGTCATAAGAATCTATGTTTTGTTAAGTTCATTTTGGTATATAAATGGCTACATAATGAATAAACTGGTTTCAATTATTTTATATTAAACATGTGACAGAATTTATGACCTGACTAGGTAGAATTGAAAATTTGAGATAGTTACTTAACCAACAGAAAAATAATTATCTCATCACTATATTACTGTTTTGACACACTACTAGAAAGAGAAACCTTCCACTAATTGAGGTTTATTCTTCGTCACGCTTTTGAGGGACACGCAAAGCATTCCAGGTAGTACCTACTTATATAAGTTTCTTGGGTTTTGCTCAAATAATGACTTGCAAAAAAGTTAAAAATTCCTTCTCATGGACGAAGGATATCGCTACCTACTAATATAATCATAGATTAATTGATATTAGTGAGATGTTTGTAACTTAATCACGCAAAACGGCTGAACGGATTTGGATGCAACTTAACACAAATATAATTTACTACCAGGAATGAGACATAGGACATACATTTTATCCCGGTAAAACATTGCTTTTGTAGAATTCTAGAGAATCCGGCCAAATGCAAGTCGTTCTCAAGGGTTCCTTACCATTATCTATACAACAATAAACGGTATATTATACTATCGACCAAGAAACGGCAAAAAAATCACATCAGTGTCCTTACTATGAACCAATATCGAATTCGAATAGTGGAATTCGATCTTGCTTAATACGCGTCAAAATGTCAAGATTTTTTTATGGACATTTGAAGAGAGCCACAACGTACGTACAGTACCAGGCCATTTGTAAGTTTTAGCAGCCGAAGGTAGCCGAGAATCTCTTTCTAAAGCACGATGCGACTTATAAATGGCCTGGTAATATAACGACAATTGAAAATCCTCCATACAAAACTTCTTGACTTTTGATGCGTACCGAGATCGAATTCACTATTAGAATTCGATATTGGTTAGCGCTAAGGGTACTATCTGTTTCCCACGAGATTGGTGGAGGAGGAAAGTAATACAAACCCAATTAAGCATTCCGTCCACGAAGTTCCCTGAGTTGCTAGACTAGGAGTAGCATGCCCAGTTAACCACTCCGCGGGATACCCTGAGTACTAAATAAAATAAAAAGGATGTTGGAATGGATAAGGGAAGTGGATGGAGTTGAGAATTGTGGATTAAGAAGGCGTGCTTTACCGATTTGGTTTCAGCGGCGGTTGCGGTATCGGTTCCAAAGGAAGTCCTTTCTTCGGTGGGTGTGTGGGTTCAGTTAGAAGCAGCAGCGAAAATGGACGGCTCATTGATATAAGCAATTTAGCGTAATTCACCCTCCACATATGACAGCACAGTGTTCAAGCAGGCAGGCGTTATGGTTCGGTTGTGTTGATTTGTATCGTTGATTCTAAGTGAAATGGGGACCACGGCAGACGAGGACGGTCTGTCAACACGTCGCTAGATCACGCCAATCTTGTCTGTGATTTTTCCTAATTTCTCTAAAATCTGGTGCAAACACAATCTCTCGCCCAATAATGTAAGAGTGCCTAGCTGACGTCGATGTCGTTGGCCGTTGCTTTGCACCTCAGGTTGACGTCACCTGCCAGAAGGATGTTATTCACACTTCTTGGTAGAGCTTGATAAGAAGTGTCTTTAGAACCGGGCAAGATGGATCGGTCCAGGATAGAAATCGTCGCGAGGGTTCATTTATGTTTGTGTTTTCATTTTTTTATGCCCCCAAATTCTAAATGCCACAATAAATTTAAAAGGCAAGGCCTTATGAAATCAAATGAAAACATGTCTACTTTACTCAAATTGACTTATTAGAAAGTTCTGTTGAATTCATTTTGAATCGTCCAATTTTTCCCCTCACACCCTAGCCAGGACGTTGAGACGTGTTGAAGTACTTCTTGATTGGGACACGTTTTGAGCGCACGTGGTGTATCTAGGGTATTTAATATCGTTGCATTTACAACTTCAGTTTACCACCAATTTCATCATCATTCGAAGTAAAAGTTTGAATATAAACAACAATCCTTCTCTATCTAAATTATATAATATAACAACAAGATATATAATAAATTACACACATTAAATTGGTGGTAATTGCTCTTCTACGAACTTTTTAATGATATTCATGCCTCGTTTGTTGATAGAATGGTCTAATCTATCCAGTATGTGGAATTCTCCCTTGACACCGAGTTTTTTCAAGTTTTCAAAAGTAGATTGGCCCCATACCAATTGGACCATAGTGTCTCGGTTCCCATGCAGCTGGAGAAGTGGGGGCACTGGAAAATATAAATATTAATTAATTAAATATTTTAAAAATATTGCTTCACCTACTGCTAAGTACAATTTAAGTAGTTTAATAATTACATGTACTATTATATAATTAAGAACTATGGCATTTAAAATTATACATACAGTTATGTTGAGATTTCTGCAGATCTTCGTAAACGATTGAATTTTCATTTAAAAATGAACTAAAAGCGAAGACTCCAGCAACATCGCGAACCCATCTATAAGCAGTGTGAAGTGCTAAACATCCACCCATTGAAAATCCACCTAAAACAAAATAAAACATTTTTTTTTATTTAGCTTTATCCCATTAGTGGTCCCCAAGGGGATAAGCCTCCTCTATCTGTCTCCACCTCTCTTTATCGGTGGCAACATCCATTTTTTCCCGCAGCTTGTATGATGTCTATTGCCCATCTTTTTCTTTGCCTTCCCGCTCTTCTTTTTCCAGCTGGGCCTGGCCATTTGGTTACAAGATTTGTCCACCTTTGATCCTGATATATCTTGCTATATGACCTGCCCACCTCCACTTTTGTTTCAAACTAAACTGTTATCATTGTTTTTTATTTGTTTGTTTGTTTAAATTTAAAATACTTCTTTATATTGTAAACTGGCAAAATAGAATTTTGTTCTTTGATCCCATGTTTGGCATGCTTACGTCAAACTTGGAAGAATGCATTCCATTTTTTTTTGCTTTCAAAGTGTTCATTTAGATTCACACCACTGGTACTTCACTGCATTGGTATTTCCTTATTTTTCAAAACTAAGTTGAACAGTTTTACTAGATATGTGATTAAAATTAGATCACCTATTTTTAAGGCTTCATTCGAGATGTTGTCAGCTTTTGGGTTTTTCTCAGGTTTTAACTCTTTCTTAATCTCTCACTCTCTCCCACAGTTCCCACGCTAGCGTCTGACGCTATGAAGCCATCTCAGCTGATCACAATAACGTGCTCGTTTTCGGAGGTGGACGACCCATGTGGACGACGCTTTGGTTTGTTTGTTGTGAGTTCAAGTATTTTCGTGAATTTTATGAAATAAGTTTCATATCATTATGTGAAAAAGAATTCAGGTACGTTTCCTATTTAATACTATAATATCATGAAATAAATGAAAAAAATGCGATGTATCATAACCATTCTTGCTTACAGAAACACGAGATGATGATGAAGTTGAAGAAGTGGAAACCAACCTCGAAGACGAATCCAGTAATGATGAAGATTTTTTTTTCTTTAATAATATTTTTTATCTACTTTTATATTAACAATTGACTTTTCTATATATGTGTGTACCTATATTTTCTTTATTACATCCAGTAACAAACAGGAGGAACAAAAAAATATTGCTTTATTCCAAAACTGTTACATCAAAGATGTTTTAAATTGTCAGATTACCTATACCCCTTTACATAATTGTCAGATTATCATTTAGAGTGACTCTGACATCGAGTTGAACCCACAGTAGAAAAATCTGACGTGCCCGCGTATTAAAAACTAACATTTTTTTTAAATTTTCAAAAATCGGTCATGAGTATGTCGCATCCAAATCGTCAGTAATTTAAATCGAACACTGTTTTGAGTTCACTAAACATTCCCTTTCAATGTCTGACACCCTCGAATAAATTTTTTTTTGAAGTGTAACTTCTTTAGCGGCGTTGCACATTTTTTGTATGGGTAAAAAATGTTAAACTCGCGTCAGGATACGTGGCGTAAGACGAAATCAATAAAATTGGAAAGGTTGTTGACTTTCAATATATTGGACGAAAAATAGTTACATTTTATTTTGTCGTATTTTTATAATAAGTCTTTATCCAGGACGTCCAGGTGGCAGGTTTATTGCGAAGAAAATGCCTTTTTTTACAACAGATGTCGCTGGGTGCGGTTAAATGTGATTCATGCAAGTTGATTTTTCTGAGAGATAAACTTTTTAATGTAATATAAATTGTCATGTTTGTGTACGATTGTGCAATAAATAAATATTGTATTCTATCACATAAATGAGTAGTACTTTTATACTGATAATTAAAGCAATTCGTGCCAAATTATTCCCTAAACATTCCAAAATATCAAAAATGCACAACGTTAACCCTTAAAGTCGACAATTTATTTGTGTACCGCTAAGACTACAATGGGTGTAGAAACACCCGGATTTAACCATGTGAATAAATAATATATGTCGGAGGATGTGACGAGTAGAGTTTCTTGTTGAATGTCAATCGCGAAAAGGCTATTGTTTACACTTTAAATAATTTTATAAAATCTTAATTTGATTTGATTTTATTAATTACAATTTCTGTATTGTTCAGTAACTTAACAATATAATAAAAGTCTCTTATAAATCATCTTATGTCGCGTCCAATCAGAGCAGAGCACGTGCCTCGAGTGGGGTCGAGGCGCCATCTTGATTTTCATTCCTGTACCAAGCCCCAATGACGCCCACGAAGCCCGTGAACGCTAATGACAAAGTGAATAGTCGCTCTCCGATATATATATAAAAATATTATATCATTTTTTATGTTGTGTACTTGAATAAGGGATCATGTTCTGGGTTTTTTGATTTATATGTTTAATTTCATATAAAAAAAAGGTTAAAATTGCGAGTGAAAAAGGGGTCCTCAAACTCATAGTAATTTTGAAGAGGTATGGAAAAACTTGAAAAGGAACAAAACTTATTAAGTTATTTTAAACCGGTTTTAATATTAACAGATGCCTTTAATTTGGTATATTATTTTACCGTATATACTAAAAAAAATATATGAAAATAAAATATATAAAATAATTAAAATGATCTCTAGCAACATTTTTCAAAGATGCTTGAAAAAAAAAACATAAAATCAACTTCCTTTTAGTAATTATAGACTATAATAATGAAACTTAATAATCATTTCTAAATTACACTTCTACATTGCATTCAGTCGATGCATAATCTGAAAAAAATATCATAGATATAAATATAAAAGCTCACATAAAAAATATGAACATAATATACAACAGTATGCCTTGGTTGGGTGGCTGAGGTGATGATGATGATGATGATTTATATTTATATATATATATGTATGTATATTCCCACACAAAAACATATCATATGCTTCACATAAATATTATAAGTTCATTAATTACGTTGTAACCCAACTAGCACAAACTAGTTGCTTAAGAGCTTTGGAGCTTATCTGAATATTCCCAAAGGCGCCAAGCTCAAGCGCCAGAGCGTGCACTGCAGACCTTATGCAACCGCTTTGCAGCCAAAGGGGCACAATTTTTTGCAACCTACAGTTCCATTAGAACTCCATAGTAGTGGCATAAAAGCGCTACAGGAGCTGCCACTAATAATTAACACAACACTAAAGCTTTTGTGGCACGTATTGAATGAATGACAGGTTTAACTGAACGAATAAAGGATCACTGATCATTCACCTTGTCTCTCATTTATTAAATACATCTGTTGTTCCTGTGTCAGACATTACTGAATACAAATAAATAATAAGTGAAATGAAAGTAAGTGAGACTTTGAGCTATATTTTGTATTATATGCAAGTAGCTAAAAACGCAGATCAGTTTATCGTGCATATGGTTGATATTATTGGAGTATTTTTAACGCGCCTCAATAATTACTTCAGAATATCGTAAAATATGTAAACTATTATTATATAAATAATATTATATCACATACCTACACCATATTGAAATTACATTTTGTATTTAGTAAGTTCTATATTTAGTCATATTTTACTACAAATTGTGATAAAAACCTATAAATTTCTCAAGTAATGATAAATGATTATCTTGTAAACATGGCGCCTATGAGAAGCAGCTTTAACTTGCAACTTCAACCTTAATACTTCCTCTCTGGACGTCAAAGCGTTAAGTTTCACTCTTCTGAAGGTCCAAGTAATACCTGTACCACTAATACAGTTCAAGTCTTTACAATCACTTTTATTTCGTACTTACTGCAGGTATCGGACCAACTAATGGTAATTTGTTTAGAGATCCGTAGAACTCGTTGAAAACCCTAAAATACGATGATCGTTTGTAGATGCTTCTATATTTTTCGCTCTGTTAACAATAACTATGTCTTACCATGTTTTCAGAATGCCTACAAAAATAATACAAACTTATAATGAACAACAAAATAAACAAGAACTTTGCATCTGTCCATCTACGTGGGAAAAACATGGAGTGTTACACTGGCCAAACAAAAAAAGTAAAAAAATATGTAAAATAGAAGATTGAACTCCACAACCAAACTGGACTAAAATAAACTCGCTGTCCGAGTCTACATGATTACATCTAGAAGAAAGAAACAGAAAATTACACAAATAAAGTTATTTTACTCCATTTTTATAATATGCCAAACCAAGCTACAACTTACTTTTCCTCTGTAACTGGTTCGTTATCACTAATTGAGAAAACAAAATCTACGGGACCCTCGCTTGTGTTTGTTGAACTCGAACTTGGCGCATTATTTTTGTTTGTTTCCAATGAATCCTTTTAATAATAAAATAACTTCCATGCCTTCATTTCTTTTAATAAAATATTTTATAAAATGTGATTTCTCCAATAAAAATAGCAGAATCTATCGAAATTAATAGGCAATGTCCATTATGCTTCTGCTTCTATTGTAAAGCCTTAATGTCGCTATTAGTAAAACAGTCGATCAAATTGCTACATAAGTCTGCGCAAAAGTACAAATCACTTCTGCAATAAAACTTTCAGTGGCAGAACAGTGATAAATATATCATTTATACAGTACCGTTAAAAAGTCTGCAATTAAAAGTCTTTGTGCGGTTCAGAAGCGTACAGCAGCGGCAATAGAAGCTTTTTAGCAGCTTTAAGCTTTAACATCGTTCAACTTCAACAACGTGTTTTAACTCTCTTTTAAATCTATAGACGGCAAATAGGTTGTAAAATGAACTCTTATAAAGACAAGAGTGGCATTTGGTTTAGTTTTTTCTACCCCCAGTGATATTTACAGCTATGAGCAGTTACGGAAGCAACAGTAGAACTTAAAACCACTTTATGAACTCCTAAGGCGCTACTGTACAGCTAAAAGTTGCAAGATAAGCTGCTATTTCCACTAGTGTGCTAGTTGGGAAGTTAGTAGCCCACTATGACTAAAATGGGTGAAAAAACACCAGTTCACAAGTCTAACTTGGGACTGGCTCTTGCGCACAATCTCGATTCCACCGTGTTCGAGGTCTTCTGTTGACTTACGAGAATACACGGAATCTCAAAGCGTTAAGTTAAAAAGGAAAAAAGATATGGCCACAAAATTAAGTCATCCGGGTGTAAAAACACCCTGGCGACGTATAACGGACGCACGCTACGGCTTGACTCGCATCTGGCGCTTATAGAGGTGGAACTTGGGAAGATAAGGTGGCACATTTTAGGGTTAAGTCAAGTCCGAAGAGAGGGGAGGACACCATAACCCGCGAATCGGGCCACCTAATGTACTTCCGCAGGGGTAAGACCAACAGTCCCAAGTTGGCGTTGGGTTTTTGGTAAATAATTCCCTTGCCGATAACGTTGTGGAAATACCCAGCGTGTCGAACAGGGTAGTGTACCTTATTATAAAGCTCACCGAGAGGTATAGCCTCAAGGTGGTGCAAGTGTACGCACCGACCTCGACACACTCGGACGACGAAGTGGAGGGTATGTTCGATGATATATCGAGGGCCCTCCACTCCACTACTAAGACCCACTACAACGTTGTTATGAGGGACTTCAACGCTAAAGTGGGAGTACAGAATTGCAGCGAATCGGTAGTAGGATCCCATGGGTTTGGAAGCAGAAATCATAGGGGGCAAATGCTCGTCAACTTCCTCGAACGGGAGGGGCTATTCTTGATGAATACTTTCTTCAAGAAACAGCCCCAAAGGAAGTGGACGTGGCAAAGCCCCGACACTATGACTAAAAATGAGATCGATTTCATCATGACGAATAAGAGGTACACATATTCAGAGACGTCTCCGTGATTAACAGGTTTAATACCGGTAGTGATCACCGACTCGGGGCTCTCTAAATATCAACTTTAAGGCCGAGCGCATCCGTTTGAAGAAATCCAGGCTCCGACCTACTCTGCTCCAATCTATAACAGGATCTGAAGCGTTCCAGTCAAATCTGGAGAACCGATTTGCTGCCGTGGAAACCACATCAGACGTAAACCAAAACCTCGAAAATGTGGTTCAGATCCTCAGGGAAGAGGGTACGAAATTATGTGTAACTCAGCGTAAGGGCAGGAAGTCAAAGCTTTCGGAAGAGACTTTAGAGCTAATGAAGGAATGACGTGAAAATCCACCCGTCACTTCGTAGGCAAAGCGGACTCTAAACCAAGAGATCAGTAAGCACGTACGACACGACCTCTGGTGCTCCACTACTCTCTCGATCGAGGGAGCGATCGAGCAGAATCGCGGGTCCAAAGTGTTCGTACAATCTCTTGGAAGAAGCCATCTGACGAAGTTGACCACGGAAAGTGGTTGCTTTAAAGCCGGCAGTCCTTTCGGAAGTGGAAGACTTCTACGGCCAGTTGTACGCATCACATGCATCGCGATCCGATTCCGGAAATGAGGATTCTAGAGCCACATTAACACGCTACTTCACCGAAAACCTGCCTGAAAACCGAAGTCAGTATTGGTGAAATCGAGATTGCTCTTGGGCAGCTTAAAAATGAAAGGGTAATGATCAGAATACGCAGCAGAACGGTCATGTCAGCGTTTCTTTGCTAAATATCTGATGAGGGAAATCATGTGGTATTGGGAAGGGGTCCGCCCTCGTCAAGCATTTGCTAAAACCCAATACCCATACATGACGAATAATTCTCAGCTCAAATGAGGTTCTCATTCATTCTGATGACGAATAGTAAATACGTTACACGGTGTTTCCTACGTCAAAATGAATTTTTATGCGTTTGGACTGTCCCCGAAGTTAGAATATACCTTAAAATACTTAAATATCAGACAACCACATGTGCATATAAGCATAAATAGAACATCCTACAAGTCATTTAAAAAACTCCAAGTACAAGCGTTTAGCCATAAACTCATCCAATTACGGCATTTTGGACTTCTTAGAATTACGAAATAATCTATTTTAAAATTAAAACGCATTTGACATCATCATCAGCCTATTAATGTCCCCACTGCTGGGGCACAGGACTTCCCTATGGATGTAATAGGGAGATTGTGCAATTGGCGGGTGCTAACGACTGCAGATGCAGCCGGGACCAACGGCTTAACTTGCCTTCCGAAGCACGGAGGAACTCAAGATAGTAAATTTTTGGTCACCCATCCAATGACCGACCACTGCGAAAGTTGCTTTACTTCAACGATCGCAGCCGAACGCGCTAACCACTTGCGCCATCGAGCTCCTTATTTGACATACTAAAAAACAAAAAATATTTTTTTCCTCTTGGGCACCCCTATTTCCATAGAAATCAGAATAAAACTTAGAAATGCTATAACTCCCAAGTCAGAAATCAGAAATCAAAAAGATTGATTTCCCAAGTCATTCTAGTTAAGCGACTATAATTTTGTCAAGGATAGGTAAATATGTACATAATCTAATACAGACAAAAACAAACGCTAATATGGTCAAACAACAGCTAAATTAAAAAAAATTAACATTTATAAAACATAATTATCTTTTAATAAAGAAAACTTAGTATACCTAGCTTTTTATATGTTATGGGTATCATATTCACAAATCTGGAAAAAAAGCTGTAGATATTTATCTATGATATTTTATTATGTTAACCTCACATACAAAAAAATATTGCACGAAAATTAAACATGATAATCAACTGGGAGTTCCACAAGAAGATTAATTATGACCCAATGCACCAAATCATGATCAAAATTCATCCAAAATCCCACACTGTGCGCTAGAGCAAGACCTGCTTTAATTACCGAAAAATAGACGTTAGGTTTTGTATCACATGTTATAGTTAATTGTTCATCTCAGTGTTGTAATAAATAAATAATTAGATTCTTAAGTCAATTAAAACGGTGTTTCACTTAGGTAAACTGCTGTAGGAGATAAAATTATGGCAGCTTTGTTTAAAAAATATGATGTAATAGATTTGTTGTGAGGTGTTATTATTAGATATGCATTCTTAAAAAGGCTTTAGTTTTAAGTATAAAGCTATGCATCGCAAACTTAAATTGTTACTAATATAACAATATTTTGAGGTGACTATATTACTGTGCAATAAGTATTTTTGCTTAGGATTGGGAAGTGATTTTTATACAAAACGGCAATTTTATGATTTGTAGTTAAATACTAACCTTTCTAAAATACTTCTCTTTAGGAAGTTAAAAGGGATATGATACTTTGTCAATTTCAAAGACAGAAATGTGAAAATTGGTTTGTTGTAACACAGCCTTTAGATGTATATTTTCCTTGTTTCAGATGGACAAGTACTAATTAGCTATACAAACGCCACTTTTCTGCCAGTCCCAAGATGTGTATCCCAATATCAGGGACTGTATTAAGGAATCAGAAAAACAGGCTAAACACAAAATTTGTGACACTTGCTTGAAAATGTATAAGTGAAATCACCAACCTACAATTATTCTATTAGAAGGTATGCCAGCTTCATTTTCCTTCTGAATAAGATGTCGCACTTCTTTCTCAATCTCTGCTATTGATTGTAGTCTTTCTGGTACCTCAGCAGAAATATCAGCACGATCAAACCAGACATTGCTTAAAAGTCCACCTGCTGGTGTATATGGCTGTGCGGGCGCAGTAGGGTAGACAACATTTATATGTGGGAAAGCAAAGTCAACCATTAATCTAACCCATTCTTTCATATTTTCACCAGTTCCACCTAAAATCCAAATAAAGAAAAATATTACATCTCTGACAGTTGAAAATAAAACTAATTAGAAAAATATGGTTATCTGTACCAGTCATTATTTATGTCAGTCTACTGAATAGAATAAAATAAAGGTAATACAGTAGAATCCGTTTATTATGACTCTGCCTATATTGACCAACCTCCTATTATGATGTAATTTTACAACAAAGCTTGATTTTCATATAAAATTCATTGAAATAAAGTCGGATATAATGACTTTGCTTACAGTGACATATCGCTTATTATGACCCATTTTTAATCTATTTTGACCATTTATAGTGACGGAATCATGTCCGTCACTTAACTTTACACCTTCGGTAATGTTCATTGATCCCGACGAGACGTTAGTTTTCGTATGTTAAGTAAGTAATTACAGTTGAACGTCACGCAAGGTTTTTAGTCATATCCTATGTAAAAAAAATGACATCTCAACGTCGTAAAGCATTTACGGAACAACCCGAAAGTGATGGGGAAGAGGAAGTCGAGAAAGAACAATTACCTACCGCAGAAGAGGCATTAAAGGCTGCAGAATTATTATCGCGATTTGTTCATAGCAATATTGAAAATGATTGAGTTCTTTCTTTTTTTTTATTTATTTTTCAGTTTTATTACCTATTTAGAAAAATATTTGCTCATCAGTTTAGACCAACATAACAATGGAGAAGTATACGCGCGGCGCTGCAAACGCTTGACCCTAACCATATACGCAGAATATTGCAGCTGTCATATTTTAAACGTGTTTTTTTGTTGTGAAAAATATTAAATAAGTGGTGAAAATGTATTCAACATGGTCTGTAATATAGCTGACAACAGAGTTGAAAAGGAGAAGCAAGGCAAAAAAGCTAATTTTGTAGAAAGGTACTCTTTCTATTATTAAGCTAGAATGCTCATTCTCGGTACATAGATGCATTTTCCATGATTATTTTAATAGTTCATGGATCTCAGTAACTTTTAGCGGGCTCATTAGTCAAATCTATCTCATTTTTGCATCAGTCAGAATCTCATAGAGTTACGTTACCTCTAGCTAAAATGGGAAGTATAACATTCGGTTTTTTTACAGACTTGAGGCATATGACCGCAATTTTAATTGTGGTGCAGTTTTTTCTGAACAAAATGAAGACATCCAGATGCAATTACCTGCATCAGATACATATCATGATGTAAACATTAGCTCAGTTTTACCACACCTTTCAAAGAAACATAAAATTATATTTTAGTCGGTAAGCATGCAGTATTCTCACAACAACCAGGAACTGCACAACGCAGCATTTGTCATGTGTTTAATAAAAAGCTTAAAAATGAATATAAGCTAATAGGCTAATTTGATAGAAGTTTTGGGTCAAGCAATTACAGCGCCCCTAGTGGCCAAATTTTGCAATTTCTTGTCCATTTTTTTTGTAGTTTATTATATTTTTACTTTAGGCATTTAAGCTAGATTTATAAATCAAAGAGAACCGGCCAGACCAGACACAGGATTCTAACCTGCATCTGGTTAGTGTTTCTATCCAGATAACAAGAGCCTGTTGGAATCTTGTTTGATGCCTGGACCAGTGGTCTCGAACACATAGTGCGAATTCAGTAGAGCTTCCCACTAAAATATGTATATTTATATTGTAACATATTAAAAATTTCACATGACTTTAATTACTATTTTGCTAGTTTGTTCTAGTATTTGCCCTATTCTGGATAATCTATAGTTAATATAAGTGAATAACATTCATAATTAATAAAGTTCTTAAAATAAGTATTCGGAAGAACTGTTTTTGAACTATTTGTATACTTTTTGAAAACATCAAAGGCATTGTTTAATATTTTTTCCATCGAATATCTGCAATATTGATTTTAAGAGCTCATGCAGCGTGTTTACTTGTCAAATTGTATTCTATTCTATTTTTGTAAAGGCTGGCTGTTGTCTGCCTGGACAATTCTGCCAATGTCAGGGTTGAGCACTACAGATGATCAGTTTGTTTTTGCAGTTTTACGCATCTTCCATTATTGGCCGGTTGAATGACCTAAAAGGGTTAAATACATATTGTCAAATATAACTAGTGATTTGTGTACATGTACTTGGCATGCACCTAATTTAAACGGCGCAATTTTGAGACGAGGGTGCGGTTTCTTTCCTTTTAATTTTAATTTAAGAATTTGAATAGCTTATTGATAGTGCCATATTTACTTAATTTAGATTAAGTCCTAGCGTTGGAGAATATTTTGCCAATCAACGGTTTGAGAAATAAAAAGTCAACTTTGGTCACAATCACAACGGTCACTTTATACATATTATTATTTTACGTATTTTTCAGTTTACTATGTGAAGATCATACCTGAACCATGGAAATAAAATAATGTGGCTGAATGTTTGCCTCCAGTATGCTTAGTTACATGAAAAGCACCGAGTCTAGACATTTTATTGTTACTATTTGAAATGAATTGTAAGTTTGCGAACAATTTTTTTTTTGTTTTTTGGTTCTGTTCCTTCCGTTCATTAAACGGAAAAGGCAAAGACGACAAAATGCGCCATACAGCCAAGACTAAAAGTTCTTTTCTTCAAGTCTTTATAGAGAATCATTCGAAATCCAAGTTTAAATATCTTCTATAGTACTCTTGATGTAATTATACAGCGACAAATAACATTGTGGGTTTTGGAGAAGTACAGGTAAGGAACGCGGGATGTTCTCGGCTGAATTGTAGATTTCAAGCAAACTATTACTGAGAAATATTCGTTGAAGAGCAAAATGAGGGCATTCGAGGAACAAATGATGAAGTGACTGACTTGAGAATCTGCAGAACGAGCATGATGGGGAGGAGACCATGTTCATTCTGAATAAATGTTCGTTAAAGCGTCCATGTCCGAGTCGCAGTCTACATATTGTAGTGTAAAATTTTCGGTGTATAAAATTTCTCTGAGCAAACCATGGCTTTCTGATTGTGTTATTAATATTATGATACCAAACACCTTTAGTTTGTAAAGTTTCATGCCAATGATCTAACCATGTCTTCTTTATTTTGTCTTTTAGAAATTCTACACAATCAGAATCAGGAATCTTTATGTTTTTCACAGGGACATTTTCAGCCGTGTTAGTTATAATCTTTGCCAGTGTATCTACTTGTTCATTTCCGTAAACGCCTATATGTGATGGAGTCCAAAACAAAATGATGTCTTTTCCGTTTGTTGTTAGTTGACAATATTTTTCTCTGATCTCGTGTATAGTGTAATTGGATTTTGAAGAAAACGCTGGGTTTGATAAGTCTTGGAGTATACTCATGCTATCTGTTATTATGATCCATTTACTATGGTTAGATTTTGAAATATATTCTAAGGCTGCTAATATAGCCATTGCTTCCGCTGTATAAACGCTACTTTGACTTGGTAATTTCAAGCCTTGGCCAATTTTTGTGTACAAATCATAAAACGCCATGGAAACATTTTTATTATTCTTCGATCCATCGGTGTACAACTGTCTATATTCAGCCCATACATTTAACTCGTTATAAACATCATATTTACAAGAAAGATCCCTATTTATTACTATATTTATTTCCTGAAATTTACTTTTATACACACCTTTATAACAAGGCAACCTATCACTAATATATACATTATTATCATCTATAACTCTCGAAATATTATTTACAAAATTATGTAAAAAGGAATTGGTATTATATGCACTAAGTTTATTTCTAAGTAAACCATTTTCTATAGACATCACTTTTAATAAAAATTTACAATTGAGAAATTCAAAACGTATATGCAAAGGGGGCAAATTGCATTCTATTTGCATAGAATTTATTGGTGAGGTATTCATAGCACCTAAAGTAATTCTTAGATTTTTATTTTGTATTATTTCTAATCTATTTGTTAGTTTTTTGTCAGATGCAAAACAGAAAAAAGCATATTCGAAATGACTTCTGACTAAAGTTTTATACAACAGAAGCAAAATTTTAGGATCGGCGCCCCACTGGTAACCAACAAGGGATCTTAATACGTTGGTAGCCCTCATAGAACGGTCTATCAAACAATCGACATAAGCTTTCCACGATAGGTCTTGTTGAAAAATAACCCCTAAAAATTTTGCTGATTTCAAAACGGGTAAAGTTTGACCGTTATAAAGTAATTTTAAGTTAGACACGTTTACAAATCTTTTCCTATAAACAACCACATTACTTTTACTTGTATTAACATCTAGGTTTAGGTATCTAAAATGGGAATACAATTGTGAAAGGACATTGTTTAGTTTGGGTTCCAATGACGAAAGTTTAGAACCCTTTGCATAAATAACTAAGTCATCAGCGAACTGCAAATTCGAAATTTTAAAATCTCGCCCGAGTATTTCATTTAATCTATGAATATACAATATATACAATGAAGGGCTTAGAATTCCACCTTGACAAACTCCTTTGTGGGAAAGTCGAGGGCCATGTAAATTATTATTGATTTTTATGTAAACTTGTCGACCATTAAGAAAGTTGAATAACCATTTAACCATCTTATATGGAATACCTAATCTAAAAAGTGTGGTTGATAGTACAGACAAATTCACGTTATTAAAGGCACCAACAATGTCAAGGAATATACACACCATTATATTGTTGTCATTGAGTGCATTTTGTATGTCAGTATGAAGACATCCTATACTTTCGCGGGCAGATCGGCCACGTCTGAATCCAAACTGGTTGTTTGGGAGTAAATTATTACTTTCTATATAAAATTCAAGACGGTGTTTCAATAATTGCTCGAATATTTTACCCATACAAGAAGATAAAGCTATAGGACGATATGAGTCAGCACAAGCCTTGGATTTATTTGGTTTAATTACAGGAATCAAACAATCTATCTTCCAGTTATCAGGAATTAAACTATTTTCCCAAAGGCCGTTAAATATGGCTAAGAGTTTTTTGATACTATTGCAGTCTAACTTTTTTAACATTTTGTAGGATATAAGATCTAGTCCACAAGCTGTATCTTTTCTAGATTTTATTGCAGCAGATAATTCAGACAAAGTGAAAGGTGAAGTTAGGTAATCATTCGTACTATTAGTGATATCGCAGGAATTAGAGTTCAATCGCAGATCTGAGGGAAAAGGTGCAACTTCTACAAAATCAGGTGTGTATTTTCGTAAAAAGTCGTTTACCCAAGATGGAATTTCGTCTTTAATTGGAGGAATAAAACTCCGGTTAAATTTACGCATAGTTTGCCAAATTTTAGATAGAGGTGATGATCTATTTATATTAGAACAGAATTCCTTCCAACTAGTGGTCCTTTCTTTTTTTATAATATTTTTTTTAAGTGCTTGCATTTTTTTAAAGTTGACATAATTTTCCTGCGATGAGTTGTTTTTAAATTTAATATAAGCTTCCTTACTATTTTGTACTGCTTTATTGCAATTTTCATTCCACCAAGGGACAGCAAAATGTCTCCACCCCAATGCCTTCGTTTTAATACTGTTTAAAGTCCTTGCTATGTCCCTTTCTGTTACAGGTTTCAGAAAAAACTTACCCACGCCGCTGTGCAAATTCTCTCTAAAATACCGCAGAACTTTATTTTCCACATCTCCACCATTTGGTAGGTCCAAGAAATGTTTATTAATATTGTTGGGGTCATTTAAAAAGTCTGGGATTGAACATATCTTGGATTCTAGTGTTGGAGTACTTTTTTTTATTTGATTCCAAAGTTTCCTGGAATTCTTCACATTATTGTTGATAAAGTAATTAAAGTAGGCTGTTTTTTCTCTTTCTATCGACGCACTGACAAGGTTTCTAAGACTTCTGTAGTACTCCTTTGCGCCAGTCGTCTTTTTCTTTTGAGCCTTTATCAATGCTTTGTCTCGTAGATCCATCATATATTTGACCATATTTGTAATCCACGGCTTAACTTCTGGTCTTATGATCTTTTTCTGCACCGGAGAGTGTTTGTCAAACAAATCCAAGATGGTTTTATTGAAGGTTTGTACCATAGCATTTACATCCTCCATCTCCATAATATTTTCCCATTCAATAGCTTCTAAGTCTTCTTTGAACAATGGCAAATCGATATCCATTAGAGATCTAGACATTTTAACTTTTTTTATGGGTTTTGGTTTCTTGATGTTAAAATCTACCAACACCAGTGCATGATCACTCAAACTTCTATTGTGGACAACAGTTACCTTTTTACATCGCTTTGGTGCATCCGTCAAAACAACATCAATAAGAGTTTCTGTTTTGTCAGTTACTCTGGTCGGTTCCTTCACTATTTGATCAAGGCCATGCTGGTCACAAAAATCTTTGAATTCCTCAGACTGTGATGTCGCAGCATTCCACATATTGATATTAAAGTCTCCCAAAATAAATGCATAATCATACGCTGAAAAAATACTTAAACACTCACTTAAGTCGTCATACAGTACTTGTGGTTCTACCGTTTCAGGTCTATAAGCTGTGCCAATCACCATCGCAGTTCCTGGAAGTTGAACTTCCAACCAAATTTGTTCCAAATCGGACTTCGGGTGTTGTTTCTTATGTAGTTTTAGATCTTCTCTTATGTAAAAACCAACTCCTCCCCCTCGCTTATTCTTTCTTGGCCTGTGAATGAATCTATAATTTTGCACCTTAAGTGCAAGTGCTTCCTGCCCTTCCTTCAACCACGTTTCGTTAACCGCCAGAATGTCAGGTGCATGCTTCAATAACATTACAATAAATTCATCTTGACCTGTATTCAAAGATCTCGCATTCAACAATCCCAATCTCAAACATTTATTCTTTATGCCTACCATTGTGACAACGGTATTCATAAGAACGAATTGGCAATAGAAGGCATGCGAGATACCACAGAAATGCATAAATAATTAAGGTTGATATTTCTAGACGTAGAACTTTCACAACAAAGGCAGCCAGACATACCCACGAGTAGCACGACACATCCATGCTTAATCGGATACCGACAACTACTTCAGGGCAATAATTTATAGTATCAATAGCACTCACAAAATAAAAAAGAAATACATGCGAGCCAGAGTAATACGGCACATTTGGAATCAAATGAAAAGCATAAATATTAAAAGCGAATAACTGAAGCATAGAATACATATACAATTGCGAATAAATACACAAGCAATGCCATACATTAACATTTAACTCGAAAAATAAAAGAGAACGACAAAGCATATAAGCAATTATTAATAATATTACAATAGCACAAACCAAACACATATGATAGCAATGTGGTACATTCAAAATTAAATTAATACTTTCAAAATTATAAGCACAGCAATAAACAACTTTTATTTCATTGATTGTTCCTAAACACATAAAACAGCAACAATACGTCTCATTTAATAACAAATAAAAGTTCATATTATTAAAATCATTTAAGTGAAATACAAAATACGAATACAATAACAAATAAATATAACATTCAGACTCATGTACATTCAATATGAAATAAATGATCACACTGCAACAAATAAAAACAATTAC